CAGAAATAGTGCAGAGACAAAGCCCTGGCTGCTGTCGGCACTGACCGAGCTACAGCTGCAGGATGAGGGGGTTGTCCCCCACGCTGGCTCTGCGGGGAGGTGTGCATGGCTGGGGGGGCTGCACGGTCCTCCCCAAGTCTCCCACCAACTGTGGGAGGACGGCAAGAGGGACACTGGGGGGGGGGGCACCCAGCGGGTGAAGGGCAGGGGGATGCTGCGACCCACACGCAGCCATCATCTGGGGGAAGATGCTCAGCACCAATCTGTCTCCATGGATGTGCTGTTCCTAGTGTTGCACATAGAAGTGGAGGAGGGAGGGAGTGAAAACTGGTGCTGCCCCCCATGAGGGTTCAGTTTTATCAGCTGCCATAGCTGAGAGTGGGGGTCAGCCCAAGCTGCAGCCTTACACCATGGGAAAAATTCAGATCTGCTCTTAAGTCCGTATTTCTGTAGTTTGGGGCTCTTTCATAATGTGAAAAATGAATCTGATCACCTCCATGCTCAGAGAAATCTGACATTTAGTCTAGGTTTGAGCTGTGTGACTTGAACCCATCTCTACTTATGGTTCAGTCATACACAGACATCTTTTAGAGGCTTCTTAATAGATGGGTAAAAATAAAAAATAAATAAAAATAAAAAAGACATAAAAAAATCAGGAGTCTATTTTAAAAGGAAAACATTCATATGTACCTAAGTGCAGTGGATTTGTTCTGCAAAGATGGACACATTAAATGAGATACCAGCTAACTCACAGGGAAAAGACAGGCTAGGGAAGGCACATCTGCGGTGCCTCTGCCCAGGAAAGTCTGCTTCAACAGCTGAGAACAATCACATGGAGGCAGAGAGACACAACACTATGAAAATCAGCCAAAAGGCTTGTTTAAAATGCCTATTTTAACACATCACCTTTTTCATCCCCTTTTATTTTCTTCCTTTTTTAACTGTACAAGCTTCAGGGAAAAAAGAAAAAAAAAAAAAAAGCTTTACGCTACTGGTATGCATTTGTGAGCACAGAGCAAATCTGGTTGCCCAGCTGCAAACACCTACTGCCGGGCTTTCAGCCGGACACAGCTCCATTTTAAGTCAATGGAACCTCACAGGTGCTAAAAGGAGGCATTACTTCAAAATCATTGGGTTTCTGTGTAAAATTGGTACCTCTATATAGATGTTTATCCATCTACTCCTCTATTGGCAAGAGCTGAGACCTGGGAGCTGGCATGTTGATGTAGCTGGGTTTCTCAAGCTTTGTTACGGAATGGTGGGTATGAATTGCTCGTAATAGAGATGCTCTTTTAAATCAGCCACCAAAGTGGGCAGAAACAAATAAAAAGGAATATAGAAAAGATATCTAACTGGCTAGCTTTAAGGTTATGTTTAATTTTCTTTTTACTTTAAATTCTAACACACTGAGGAAGGATCTTGTAGGAAGCTGTATCTGAACCTCTTCTTGCTGCTAAGTGCCCTACTTAAAGGTTTAGCTTGAGTCTCTTTGCAAAATCTTGCTTTCATATGGCCTCAGTGAAAAAACAAGCACTATTGGAAGGGATGTTGTGATCTGGATCCATTGCACCAAGGACAGTGGGGTACAATAATTAGGCTTGGTGGTGGCTGAAATGACGTCAAAAGCAAAAAAACCCTACCCTGTTGAGTTTGATGGACGTTCAATTCCACCAATGCCAAACCTCTCCCTCCAAAACCGTGAGGTTCAATGGTAACAGCTTCCAAGGAACTGCCCCTGCAAATGCAAATTTCCAAGCACCTTGCGAGCTGTTGGGAGAGCAGCATGGCTTCAACTGGTGGGGTCTGAGTCTGCTCCGTAATTTTGGCTCTGTGTCCATCTGAGTTTCCACCGCATTCATCCAGGCAGTGTCTGAAAGGCAGCAGCTAGCAGCCTTTTAGATAGAATCCACTTTTGTGGTTCAATTAAAAAGTTTTTCAGAATAAACAATAAGTTTGAGTGATTTCTTCATCTTACTGTCTTAAATGTTTTCTGTTAAAATAATTTCTTTCACGAGGGTATTTAAGGAGCCCTTCTGGTGTTGCCTCTGTTTAATAGCTTGCTAACTCCTACAGTACTGCCTACTCTAATTACTCCAATCTAATTAAGAGGAGGAAAAAAACAACATACTACTGAAGGGCTAGTGAGAACCGATAGTCAAAGAGCTGTAGGAAGATAAATGGGGATCATATTGGTGGGGTAATTTGCTCATTAGCACCCTCCCTCCCCAAATTAGCCTAAATGGAAGCAGAATGAGAGAGGAGAGAGAGAAACACTGATAGAGATAGCAGAGACATACTTAGAAAGACAAACTGATGTGCCATAGTTTCAAAGACCAAAAAAAAGTTACCAAAAAAAAAAAAAAAAAAAGAGGCAGAAGATCCAAAATCCAGTCTGCTTGGAAAGCAGAGAAAGCACCAGAAAAGTCCAGGGGAACAACACTAATGCCACAGAAAACCCACTTCAGCCACGGCACAAAAAGCTGGTGGTTTGGCAGGAGTTTCTAGAGGGGTTGGTCTACCTTATAGGCAACACGAGCAGGGCATTTCTTTCCAAGGCCTAGAGGTGGGGACATGTGTCTCAGCATCTCATACATGTCTGTGTAACTGATGCGCCCGCTTGGAGTCAAAGAGAGGGAGGCAAAAGCAAGAGCACACAGAAATCAAACCAGAGCGGGTAAGGGGTGGGGGGGAAGGAAGGGGATGGGGGAAAAGGCAACACAACGGAGCAAATGAAAAGGAGGAGAGAGAAGGGAAAGCAGACAAGAAAACAAAGATCAGGTTAATCAGATTTCTCAGGAAAACCAAACCAAAACAAAGAGGTGGGTAAATAGAAAGGTTTCTCCGCTTCCGTTGCTGTGTTTCAGCGCCCAACGTCTCCTCCCCACTGCAGGGATGTCCCATGGCCAGAGCTGCGCCTCGGCACGGGGTCCCTGCGGGGAATGATTGATGTCTCCGCTCGGGTGGAGAGGGTGTGGGGAGGGCTCAGGTTCGGCTGGCTCTTTGTGGGGGTGGAGGGACGCTCCCCCCTCTCGCCCCCCCCAAACCAGTCAATCAAGAGGCTGTATTGACCATGCCAGGGAGAGCTGGTAGGCAGAGTTATGGGACAGGGAGAGATGGGGCTTAGAGAAAATGTTCAGCTTTCCTTCAGTGAATAAAGAGTTTGGGTTTCAGGTTAGCCTGTGGGCTACGAGAGAAGCAAAAAGCCAATTCTGGTGTGTTTGCTCAAGGGACAGACCGGGACTGCTCTGACTCCAAGCCAAGGGTGCAACTCTGCAAAACCTCAGCCAGCCTGAATTTCTCCTCCAGCCTGAACTCAGGTTTGACAAACCCAGAGCCCAGCACTCGATTTGCAGGAAGGTGGTGGAAAGGGGACCTGTTTCTCCCTTATGTTTGATGGGGCCCCTCTTTCCTCAAGCCAATATCAACTGGTTGTCTCCATCACTGAGGGCAGCTGGCTGGCCTGTGTGTTAGAGGGAACTGGGGATTGCAGAGATTTGGGAAAAGGCCCTTAGCCCAGCCCGTTACTGAATAGCATCTACCTTCAGCACATGGTGGTGGTAAATAAAATCCTGCCCCGAAAAGCAAGAGATGCAGAAACAGCATGGAATTCTCCTGCTTTGCCTTTTTCTGACTACTGAAACTGGGAGCATGGCTATGACAATCTCATTTTGTTCTCCCAGCGAGCTGCCTGCTTATTATATTGTGCAAATCTGTGCTGCCTGTCATCTGAGGAGACCTGAGTATATTGCAGCATGCTATTAGTTCATGTTTAACCCCTGGAAAAGCAGGACAGTATTATCGTCTCCACTGTAGCAGGAGGGAAACCAAGACCTAAGCACCCCCAGGAACCCCCTTTCTCCAGCAGGACAGCTACAGCAGCGAGCACCCGCACACCCGCCCGCTGCCCCGACGTGGGGCTCAGTTCCTATGTAAAGCACTGGTGCAGGAGGGGGTGGAAGAGAGAACTTACCAAGCCAAAAACATCTATTCCTGTCCTTGGTAACTAACACAGTTAAAATACCACCCGGGTTTTATAGCCCAGAGCTAATTTAGAGGCTGCTGAGAGACACAATTTGTAATTACAGCCAATGGCTTCCCCCCCCCTGCTTCTCCCTTCTGCCCCTGCTCCCTGGCTGGAGGTACAGGCTCTCTGCCTTCTCTGCAACGTTTGGTAACTTCATCCCCACTCAGGTGTGGGAAACACCGGGGCTGGAGTGAAAGAGAAAAGCGAGCTCCACTTCCCTCTCCTGCATTTTCTGTTCTCTATGCACTGAGTGCAGGAAAATCCCTGCCTGGAACTGGGACCCGACTGAAGTCTGCTGTCATCCTGTGCTGATTTCTTGGCAAGATCTGTCCTTAATTTCCCACCTCAGCTCCCAAGCACAATACACTTTTCCTGTGCCACGAGGAAGGGGTGGATGTCCATCACAGCTTACGATCTCAGAGACGTAATTTTGCTCCCAAGGCAATCTCTGGCTGTAGCACTGCGAAAAGCTCATCCCTTCATCTCTCCCCAGCCTAGGTAACCATCCCATTTTGCTGCCCAGTTAACCAGTGCCCAGATCAAATGTCTTTCCAGCTCACGAAAGGCTCATTCAACTGGACTGACCATGCTATGAAGCCCAAACAAAATGGACTTGTTACTCCTTAGAAATCTTGGGATGACATTTCTCTCCGGTGTGTATATATGGAGAGAAAGTGCTCAGATGCTGTGCTGCTCCTCCCCAACACTTCCCACCCAGACCCGGCAGGATGGAAGCTGGAGGGTTCACTGTCTCATAAAGCTGCCTGTCTCCAGCCAGCTGGGGTGTGGGAGGAGACGGGGAAGAGATGCATTGAGGAAAAAGGAGGCAGTCAGTCAATCATTCCTTTTTTTTCAGGCAAGGGGTTAGTTATGTTACAGTGTCTTTTTGGTACTGTTTGCATTTGCACTTTGGAGGGGGTAAAAAGAAACAAAACCAGAACTGAAAATGCTGGAGGGAGTCTCTGAAGTTCCAAACCTTGTATGCCACCCTATGAGGGCACTTCTTTCCTAAGCCCAGGGGTGGAGCAATTACACGTAACAAATTGTACATATCCTTATAATGAATTCGGCAACTGGAAAGAAAACATCAGATGTTATGACAGCAAAACCCAAGAGGAATCAGTTTTTCCCCAGGCAAACAGGAGAAGTTGGAAGGGCAAAACACGCTGAAAAGAAAGGTTAGTTTGACAGCAACTGGGCTTGCAACGAAGGAGACACTTTAACAGAGAGAGAGAGAGAACTTCCAACTGCTCAACAAAATCCATATCCTTAGATTTTTCTTCTGTGAAAACCTCAGGGCCACGTGCAAGGCTTTCCAACCATTGCATTTTGTTACCTTTATCACTACTGTGTTATGTCCCTGTGCCCGAGCATCTGCCTCCAGACGGCCCCTACGCACCTCCCAGGTGCTGCAGCAGCCCAACAAAACCAGCGCCTGCAGCGCACAAATAGCTTATTCAATGGATTATTACTGGGAGTCAAATTAACTGGTTCAAAAGAGCTTGGGAACCTTTCCCTTCCCCTGTTACCACCTACGTAACCCCAGGAGGGCTGCACTCTGCTTCGTGGGCAAGAAGCGATTTGCTGGAAGTCCAGAAACTGCCATCTCGAGAGCCATTGGCACGGGGAAAATCCAGCCTTCGTTACCAGTAGGTGAAATCAGACGCCTCGAGGCGGCTTTATGGTCAGTCCATTAACTCCCAACAATATTTTCAGCTAATTTAACAGCAGGATTAGCTTTCCTAATCTTTTGTAACCAACCAAATCATGTACAAAAAGAGCTGTACTGAACTTCAAAATGACCTCTGAAGAAAAACGAGATGATTTGGCTTCACTGTGTTTATTTTGGTACGCTATATAAAGAAGGCTGGAATATTTTGGAATATATCCTTCAATATTACTGCCTTTTTGGATGTGAAAAATTAAGGTCTGTTCAAAACCTTCACAATCAACTCAAAACTATTAATTCAGAAACAGATCAAATGGAACTGTGCAAGTCTTGGCCGCAGGCCTAATCGTGGTTATAAAAAGTATATTGGTTTAACTGAGTCAAGAAGTCTACTGAAATTTTAGAGTGGTTTTGTAAAATCAGCGTGTAGAAAATATGTATAAGCAGTTCCCTGAGCTCCCCAAGAGTCTGTGGAAGGCTTGAAAACCCAAGCCTAAATTGAATTGGAAGGTCATGGCAGCAAATTATGACAAATTAGGACAAAGAAGGATTCTTTCCCAGGTTGTTGAAATCTATTTCAGTTTTGTTTATTTTCATCAGCGTGCCGTTTTCTCGGATAGCTAAGAAAAAGCTCTCCCTCGGGAGCACCTGCACCTCTCCCAACCGCTGAAGGTGCTGCCAGTAACATCTCCCTCAGCTCTGGGGAGCAACTAATGGGAATGGGATGGCAAGACCAACATTTCCAGTATCTCTAAGGGGTAGGCACTGGGAAGGGGGGTATCACAGAGATAAAGCACTCACTTTATATATCTTGAGCAAATAAAAGCTTATAGAAATCCAATTTTCTTTTCTTTCCCAGCACCATCCTTAAATTCCATGTTTTCACTCCTTTCCTGATTATTTCCCCGGACCAAACCTCTGTGCGTGCCCCATTTCTCTCGCTCTCTCTTGTTCTGTGAGCCTGAGGCTTCTGCCACCCTTAAATCCAACAATTTCCCATACTTACCCCTCGTGAGTCTGACACATATCTAGAATAACAGCTGCTGGCTGCTTTTTTTACTTCCTTTTAAATGTTTTTCCCCAGAAAAGCTTACAGAAAGTTGCATTTTGTAACAAACCCAAAGGTGATATTGGAAATAGGTATGTAAATACACACACATTAAGCCTATGTTTAAAATATTATCTATATAACAAAAGTATAACAACACTTGTACTTTTTACCCACACAGCATCTTTCATCGAGGGTCTCAAGCTACGGAAAGTGGACAAACACTGTAATTCCCTTTTTCTTGGGATAATCGAAGAAGAGACCTTGGGAGAGGTCATCAATTAGTGAAATATGGAAGCAGGAGCCAGTTCACCCGCAACTAAGCGTAACACTGCCTGGGAGTCTTCTTTCTTGCCCATTACGCTACGGTGATTATTTAGCATTCCCCTACACGTGCTTCCTACGCTGGGAGCTGAAATGCTAAAAGGAGATGGCTGATATGGAAAACAAAAATTAGATCGACATTTTCTTTCAGTGAAAAAGCCCTGTGCCTTCAGATCAAAACAGGGTGTGCTGCTGGGAGCCGCACCTTGAAAGAGAAGTTATTGAGCTGAGTCCATGGCTAGCTGTTGTGAAATACCGTGTCCAGAGCTTCACAGGGGTTCAGCCCAAATGACCATAAGAACTGTTCTAGCCTTAAACTGTGAATGGATTTCAGATTACTTTCAAATTGTGGAAATGTTAGTCCCACTTATGAAAACATCAGTGATTTCAGTGGAACTATTCGCACATGGAAAATCCAGAACATGGACATGTTTTAGGATCAAGCCTCGAGCATCACGTCTTGGCTGTCCTTTGGTTCGCGCTTCTGCCCCTGGTCACTCTGCCAACATCAATAGCTTCGCACCAGAGCAAAACGGGAACAAGGTTAGAGAAAAACAGAATTAGGATCTGAATATATGACGTATTTTGTGTTAACAGCTCAGCGAAAAGGTTTGGCCCCTGAGCGACTCACCAAATGTACCCTCTGCGCTCAGAGTTAATAGAGCAAGCAAATCTTTCTGTAAACTCTGTGCTTGTGCCTCTTATGGGTGGAGAGTTCCTGAACACATAAACATTAAAAAAGCACATTGATACTCATTTTTCCCTTCCAGGTGTGTCACTCCTCCCACGGATGCAAATCAGAGCCAAGACTATTTTCTAAGGAGAGAACGGGCACTCCCAAGTTTTCAATCTCATTGAGATTTTCTCATGGTAAGAAGAGATAGGACAGGATTTGAAAAATTAAAAAAAGAAAAAAAGAAAAAAAGCTATTTACTGCCTGCCAAATACCCACAAAAGACTTGTCTGTGTTACAGAGCACGTGGTAATGAAAATCTGCTTGGAGATTACAAGCTGCTAGTATGCATGCAGTACATAGGCAGGCTTGCAGTATGGATGGCTTTGAGCTAGTTAAAATCACACACAGTTCAGAGAAATGCAGTCATTTTAGAAGAGGTTTACATTTCAAGTTAGCCTAAATCAATTTAACTGAGATTTTAAAGCAGTTTAATTGCATCCTAGCAGGGAGTTTGAGATGCTGATTATATAAACGCTTTCTGCATCTGTCTCTACTGAGGGGAAACAAAAAAGAGTGGAAAGATTGGAGGAGTTGGAGGCAGCTTCATTGCAAATACAGAGGAGATTCATTGCAGAGTAACTCATGGGGAGGAAAATGGATACAAAATTAGTAGGGCTTTAAATTAAAAAAAGGTCTCCCAAGAGGCAAATCCCCAAGCTGCAGGATATCAAAGAAATTAGTGTGACCTGTATCTCAGCGCATCTAGAAATGAAAATAACACAGTCACCAGGACTGTTGTGCAGTAACTTTCTCTGGGCAATGGAGAAAAGCAATATATTAAAGCCAGTCTTCCTCTAGAAGCGATCACTAGTCAGAGCTGTTCCCTCATTTTTAAAAAATTCCTTGGGTCTGCCACAGCACGGTGCCACTCCTCCGCTGCAGCGGTACTTAAGCCCAGGACGTGCAGCTTTCCCTGTGAGTGTCTTTGAATAAGAAAAACAAAGAAATAAACCCATAAACCCAAACACCTCACCGTCTGGCTGTGAGAAACCCATTTCCTCCTTTAACACACATATATCAGGAACATTTTATCAGAGGCTTGCTGAGAACTGAAATGCTTCCAAAGTTAGGCTTAATGCATTTTCTTCTTACTATTTCACACATCTTGTGTTTCAACTGCAAGTCCACAAGGTAAAATATTACTTAGAAGAACAAAATTCCCCTCTACAATTTGATGTCATTAGAAGGAGGCTTCCAAGATCAAAACATTGGGTTTGATGAGAAATTTCTGTTTAAAATAATCACGTTTTCAGCAAATGTCCCTTACGTTGAGAGACATCATGTCAGTCCCCACTGCCTCACAGGGGGGCGAAAGCAAACGATGAATTCTGAGCCTGTAGCACTTGACTCAGATGCAAAACAATGGGGTAGATCCCTGCAAGGGAGAGATGGAACCTTGAAAACTTGAATTTTTGGCTTTTCGTGGCCTCAGGTCTCTGCACAGGATTTGTGAAACCATTGAGGCGGTTCTGAGCTAGGAGAGAAATGCTGCGCGAGTGGGGTGCAGCGAGGCTGAGCCTCACAAGTTAGCCAGAGTGCTGCCAATGGCAAGACATTCAGCGTATTTTTATCTCCAAACTGGGATGCAGAAACCAAACGCAATCAACGCTGCTTTTGGAAATGCTAAACATCTTCTTACTAGGACATTTAGCCAAGAACATTTGAATTTACCCTATTAATTTTGGGCCGTGTGTGTGTGGGGAGGAGGGGGCGTTTGCTTTCTTGATTTGTTGGTTTGTGTCTATCTCGTGTCTATTTGAAGGAAATGCCCTTGTAATGACATCAGGTTTGTTCATCTCCAGCGCACAGTGAATTGAACTTGAAGCATTTACCACCAATGTTACCTCAAGCTTTGGAATTGTTTTCCTTCTGGAGCTGTACTCACATTAAAACAGGCTCTTTGATGTATAGGCATGGTATTTATACACAGCGTACAGCTTTTTCTTCACATACGAGTATAACAGCGTACATACCAGGCAGCTGGGTCATATTCAGCCCAGACACGAACAAACTCATCCAAATGATGGGGCCCAAGGATGGAGGAGTCTCTCGTCAGGTATTCAAAGTTGTCCATAATCACAGCCACAAAGAGGTTTAACATCTGCAGGGAGGAAGCAATAACGCAGTTAGGGAGAAAAGGAAGAAAAAAAAAAAAAAGCTGGAAGGGGAGAGGGTATGATTCCCTTAGGAGAGGGTATGATTCCCTTAGCAGGGCGTGTGGTTTCTATAAGAACCAGCTGCACCCCAGAGAAGAAACTCCACAAACCGAGTCCTGGGGACCCTGCTGTTACCACCTCCTCCCAGCTCTGCAGTACGTGGCAGGTTTGCCACGGCTTTTGACTGGGGACAGTTCGGCCACCTCCCCATCAGTGCTGACGCCCTCCAGCACAACCCATCCCAGAGCCCGATGGGCTCAGCACCTCTCCCTTGCCCCTTCTTCACCCTACGCCAGCACAGACCAGCACACGGGCTGCGGCAGCCGCTTCACCAACTGGGTGGTGCGAACTCTTCCAGCACGTTCTTATCAAGGCACATCAAGACAAGAACAGCTAGAAGAAAAACCATTCTTCAGCCTGAATGTCCTATTTTAGACTCATAACAATTCAAACCTTCAAAGGTCCCAGAAAGACGAGGGACAGGGAAACACAAGAGGCTCCTAACACAGACGGCGGCAAACACTTCTGGCATATAAAGATTCTCTTATTAAAGCCAACGGAAGAGTCACAAGGGTTTCAATGGGAAAAGATCAAGCTGCAGCCAGCAGAATGGAAGAGCAGGAGGCAGGCAGGGACAGATGCTCCTGTGTCGGATAAAGACCTGAGTGGCACAAGGCCCCTTTCTACCTCTGTTGTGTCTTTTGTAGGGAGGCTGGGCTGCTGCCGCGAGCGCTGCTCCTCTGCACCACGCTGAGCAAGGAGACTCGCGGTGAAGAGCCTGTGAGCTCTCGCACTAGGCTGAATGGAATTAAACAGAATATGGATGTCCCTGGCTGGTCTGCTGGTCGTCAGAAGAAAATGAGGCAGTGGAGTTTGGGGGTTGTGCAGTTTTAAATAATTCATATTCCTGTGTGATCTGGAGGGAGGAAGGGGTCTTGGCTCTTGCTGGGACACACGATTCACCAGTACGGACAAGCAGAGTCCGTAACAAATCCCCCTGTCACCACCAACTGCTAATCAGGAACTTCCCAGATACATAGTCCATCTATTTCTTAGAACCCACCCCAACAGAAAGCGGGGATCCGAACCCAGCCCCCAACATACCAATGTCCTACACTAGGGCACCGGGGTTCCTTACACCACCCGAGGGTCTTCTTCAGGCCATGCTGCACAGCACAAGGCTGCAAACAAGACTTCTGCCTCTGCAGCAACGTGCATGAATTCACTCCTGCAGCTAAGCGTGAAGGCTCGAATGCAGCACTACACTAAACAGCTCTGTGGTGTTTGGGGAACCCAGCCAGTACTTTGTGTCCCCCCGGGTCTTGGATGCTCGGGGGGTCTGTGTGCAACCCAGCCAAGACAAGCCCTGGGATCTCGGTGCGGTGCACCATGCGGTGCGGGACAGGGATGTCCAACCCAGGTCTCAGTAAGCTGCTCAAAGGCTGGCAGCACTGTAACCACATCAGCAGGGCTCACTCGTGTGCTGCGGGTACCCCACGTGTAACACGGTACCCCCAGAGCAAAAGAGACAGCAAAACTTTTGAGAGTTTGCCCTTGCTCCCGAGCCCTTTCCGTTACTCCCAGCTCCAGCTGTGGCTCAGTACAGGTTTCCCTTGCGTACAGCAGTTTCTAAAGTTCCTGTTTTAAATTTTCAATTTATATTTTTCAACAGTGCAAATTACAGGAGGAAAATTATGTCAGGCTGGATACCTATGAAGAGCCAGAAACAACATTTAAAAACAAATCAGTTTTATCCAACTGCCCCCCAATCTATAGTGTAACAACATCAAACAAACTGCAAAAATGTGCCCTCCTGGCAAGGCTGCAGCTCTAATGCTTTAATCGCTTGTGGGGAACCACATGTTTCATTGCAATGGAGTGCTGAACGCATTTCAAGAAACGAGTTACAGCCCTGTACCAGAGCAGTCCAGCTGCTTGGCTTTCTGCTCCCTATTTTTGGAGCCTGCCCTCCCTGCCTTTGCTCTTCGCGAGGGCTCTCCCCGCTCTCTGCCAGCAAGCCTGGAGTGTGGTTTCATGGGGTTTTCCGGGAGCGCTGGGTCCAGGACAAAGCTCACGCAAAGCTGTATTTTGCACAGATGTGCTCCAGCCTCCAATTCTGCTACTGCATTTCGAGCAGGACGGCTGATATGAGCCAGGGAGGGTGAGTCTGGGGGGGTGTTGTTTGGGTTTTTTTTAAAAAAGAGAAAGATTTAGGAACAATAATGCACTTGAAAATAATAATGAGAATGTCTGATGTTGGGTTAGGGATTTGTACAAGGAAAAAAATTTGCTTTACAATACAGAGTACTGAAGGAATCAGTAAATGGAGCATTAACTTTGTATAAGCTTTCAGGGCTCCATGTTTTTTAATATATGCAGAAGAAATAAACCACGGGATATCAAAGGGGCAACGTCAGTTGGACAAAAGATCTCAGTAGAGGGCACTGAAATTGGTCTATCTATAGCCACCATCAAACTGCCACACGTACCTCTTTTTCCTGGTTAAAGGTCTCTGATGATAGCAGGGATTAGCTGCACAAAGCATCAAATCTTATGTTTTAAAGCAAACTGAATGTAGGCTTGATACGTTGCTTTTTGGTACATTTCAGAGCGGTGACTTTCATCTCATCCTGCTTGAAGTTTAATTGGCTCCCTGTCCCTGGTTTTCCATTCTTCTGTCCCAGTGATGCAGGAAAGCGAACCAAGCCCCAAGAGCAGAGAGCTTTTTATGTGTGCAAGTGCTCAGAAAGACACTGGCACCTATTAAAGCTTAGACCCAGCCCCATATGATGGCCAACGGCACGAATCAAGTACAACAGTTCTGCGTGCTTTCATGTCTAAATCTTTCCTGGCACCATTGCAGAAGAAAATGATCATTGCATTTATTTGACAAAAAAAACCCCTCCAATAAAACCAACCCAAAACACAAGGCATCAAATAAATGTGATGCTCCCAGCTGCCTGCTGCAAGCACTTCTGAACCAATGTTATCTTGGCCATTCTCACCCTGCCCTCCCCAATCCCCTCCTTCAAATCAAGACAAAACAGATTAATGCTTAATTCCAAATATTAGACCCCCCCTGAGGGAAGAAAGATAAAAACCTTCCCTCTAAACTAATGACTAAATAATCTCTTTGGGGATTAAAGGGATTTTATCACCAGGATGATAAATGGTTTTTAGTGAAGCTGCCTTGTAAAGTTGTATAAATCATAATTAGGAAGAAGGAGGAAGCAAGGGGGTGGGGAGGGAAGGGCTGGGGGGGGAACCACACCGTCACCTCCACTTTGGGAGAGATTGGGACCCACTTACCAGGAAGGAGCACAGGAAGATGAACGACACGAAGTAGAAGTACGCGAAGTCGCTGCCACATTCGTTTTTGGTGAGGCCGGAGAGCGGGTCGCAGGCTCTGTTGCTCAGGCACGACAGCATGATCTCGTGCCAGGCTTCCCCCGTGGCACTCCTGCAGACCGGGAGGGCAGAGGGTGAGCTTATCCAGCCCCCTCCCGGGGGGCATCCACCTCCCATTACCACTGCGCCCAAGTAACTCATTTAATCAGGAGGAAGGTTGTCTTCAGGTGGAGACTATATTTACATTAGGAATCTGAACTGCTGACATGAAAAAGAAAGGAGGAGAAACATCTCCCTCTGTCGCAGGGGGGTAAAGGGAACCGAGCAGGCTCAGGTAGGCTAGGCTTCATTGGTTTTACAGAGAGTAAAGCCAGACTGATTTAAACACGTCAAGTGCAAAGTGCAAATGTAAGTAAAACAGAGTTGAGATTGTTTCCTCTTGAAGCAGCTAGCATTTCTATCGCAGCGCTGGCTGCATACGCAATGGAGATGATGGGAAACGAAGCCAGGCTTTTTGACTCGAACCTCTTATTTCCTTTATCAAGCAGATATAGAAATACCAGGATGGTCTGGTTGGTGGGTACCGTTCTCATGACAGCCTCCTGGGTTTTCTTAATCATTTCCCTCCTCCCCCTGCAACTGCTACTTCTACTATAGGGAGAAAAATAGCCAAAAGGAAAAACTTTGGAGTCCCAGAGGGTCTGTCCTCAAAATAAACCACCCTATGCAATGTGCACACACGGATCAGAAGCCGGGGGATCCCCATGTTTGCTTAGTCTGACTTCCTACATAACCTCAGATTTTCACCCATGATTTCTACTCCGAGGCGCTTTTAGGGGCGTCCCTCCGCAGTGCCACGAACAGCCCATCCTGTTCCAGGGTTGTTTGCAGCCATGCAAATTTCTACACAAAGCTGGCTCACAAGCCTTCCTCCTGGTCTTTGAGAAAACTTGATGCTCAGTGTAAACTGAAATAGCTCCCAGGCTACTCAGAATGACAATTCCCTTGTGCAGAAACCCGCTGCCCCATCGCGATCCTGCTGCCTCTGCCCCCTCTGTCCCACTGCAGCTGCCGCATGGGGCTGGAAAGGGACCAAGGGGTCTGGACACGAGACTGAATAATTATCTGGTTTTATTAAAATTCAGAGTTTTGAGTCGAGTGATTATCCTGAGCTAGATATTAGCTAGAGGGCTAATTTAATTTCCAGCTGGCTTCACAGAAACTATGCAAACCAAATCCCAGGCAAGATATCCCGTTGCAAGCGCCGCGTAATCTGCAGCGCCCAGCCTCGGCGCGGCCGTCAGGTGCTCGCGGGGCCAGAGCAGTCATTAACCGCTGTGTCTCCACACCACACATCCAGATAAGTGAAATCTTCCCCAAGCTGCCCCAATTTGGAGCAAGGCCTGCACTTCGTTTTTGCTGGGTCTGAAAATGAAAATCTGTCATTTCATTGATTATTTTTTTTTTCATTTGAAAATGCTTTGTTTCCAGGCAGAATGAACCCAGAGGGAAACACTTTCACTCTCACGCAGAGGTGGCATTGACGTATGAAATGTTAGCTTGTTGGCAATACAAAAATGACCTACTACAGGAATTCTCACTTTAAAAAAAAGAGTAAAAAATAATAGTAAGCTTCATGACAGGAACCACATCGATCAGTTAAACCAGGAGGTTTCTGTCTTATATTAAGCTTCTGCCTGAGTTGACACGGGGTGTCACAGCACTGGGTGGCACTTTGTGGAGATGCTGGGGTGTTGAATCGGATCTCTCGTGTTCGGAGATGTGCCAGGCCAACCTTTAATGCCGAGCAGGAGGAAGCAGGAACGGATGTTTTACTCCAAATACCTCCCTTAGAGGATGCCTCAGTCTCAGCAGCTAAACTGGCATATGGGAAAATAAGGATTTATTTATTGCTTGCATGCAATTCTTATGGTATTTTGTACTCACCTGAACAAAAGCATTAGGGCTTGGAGGAAGGTACGGAAGTTATTGTGCCGATTAATGGAGGTTTCATCATCTAGTGCAATGTTTCCAAATACCTGCCACAGAAAACAGAAGCGATTCAGGCCAAAGGCATCCTCGCGTGGACGTTGTCAGTAAAGGTAGATCAAGTGGAGTTGGGAGAAAAGCAGGAAAATAATTTTTCCTGGTTCAAGGGATCTCAAAAGCTAGAATAATTTCTGTGCTGAAGAGAGAGAGATAAGAATATGTTGTGGAAGATCAAATGGGGAAAAAAAATCAGTTTAATGTGCTGGTTCTTCACCAGACCCTTTCTAAAAACACAGTTCAGCTCCAGCCCAGGCCAAGAAAAATGTCTCATTTCTTATCAGAAAAACTTCTCATTTCTCCCTGCTCTCAGCCTCTTGACATCCCTTTTATGCACTTCTAATTTACCTGGCGCTGGACTTTTGCCCCATCCTAAGTCAGGTGTTGCTCTTGCTGCACAGGCAATAACCCATTTGCACCCTGAACCAGCGGGACAAAACCAGGCTACTTGTGCTCAGTATTAAAGCTAAAATTTTACCTGCATGCCAATAATGGCATAGATGAAGAAGAGCATTGCAATGAGGAGACACACATAAGGCAAGGCCTGTGGAAAAGGAGAAGGAGGTATTAATGCCAGCAAATGCATATGTCAGCCGGTAGCATTTAATTCCTAGGCAGCACTCTGTTTTGTTGCATTTGTCCTTCAGATGAAGGAGCTGGGAAGAGAATATGAACAATTCTGGCAGTCTTCAGAAGACAAACCCCTGGAGCCTGGTATTCATCGATCAGAAAACAGTCTGGGCTGTCCAAGGGCTCCCTGTACATCCTTGCAAGCTGATAAGCAGTAAGCAGGGAAAACACAATGAGAGCTCCGCAGCAAGCACTGAAGGTACCGGCAGGCACTGGCACTTTCTATGCATAATTGCACGAACATTAATTTTTAATGACCTTGCTGCAAATTTAGTATGAGAAAAAAAATATACGTTCAAGAAACAAGTTCCTGCTCTGAAACAGGCACAGACTGCAATCCCAGAAGGACAAAAAGATTCTGCTTTAGCAAGAAATCAGCGAAGGCTACAATGTAATTATGTCACCCAAGCTGAGAGTAATGGCTACTTTCCACTCAGGCTAAATGAATGGGTAATTAATGCCTCTTAATTAGTAATAGCTGAAAAAATGAGAAGTCTTGCACTAGGGCTAGACCGCGTGATACTCGGGGCAGGAGAGGGGTTTTGCAGCCCCCGGGGAGCCCAGTAGGAAACACGGGGCAAAGGGCTGGTGTGGTTTCTGCTGGACACCTCTGCAGAAGGGACACGGACCGAGAGCTCAGCGCTGGGGGCACAGACAGACACGCAGCTCTCCGTGCAGCCCAGGAACCGTCCCGGCTCTGCTTCAGGGGCAGCGCTCTGCACACACACACTTTGCAAAGGGTCGGGATTGTACTGAAAAGGGCCTTGGCTGAGCCCCTCTCCCACCATCCAGCCAAGACTACAGAGTCCGAGGACACTCTCCTGAGTGGGAACATCTTATTATACCTGCAGACCCCACGTCTCAGCCTCTGGTAGAGGCATCTCCTGGCTGCAGGGTTCCTCATGAGTTACAAGGTGAGAGCAGCAGCAACACCACCTCCATCCACGCTCGAGGAAAACACGACCTAACAAATCTAAGGCGCTGCACCCCCCCCTTCGCAGTCCGTTTAGCTGCTTGATGGTTGGGTGAAAGCGTAACACAGAAGCTGGATGCGAGAGCACCAGCTGCCTGTCTGGTGTCTCCCAAAGGGACGTACGGGGTAACAACACTCACTGCCAGCCCTGGCCATGGGATAACAGCACAGATGCCTGAAGCTCTTCTCCAGGTCGCTTGTAGAAAGAAGCAATCACTACGTTCCCATCTCCACCCTCCAAAATGGTTTTGCCTCTATAGTCTAAAAGGTCTAATAGAAACTTCCCTCTCAACCAGCTCTGGCGCAGAGCAATAGCCATGCTCATGTTCTGCTGAAACCAGTTCTCCATCCCGGTGTCTGGCAGCCGGCACGGGGCTGGCCAGCACTCCCAGCCCGGGGTGGGCAGAGCCACCCGGCATCTCTCTCCAACCGCAGGAGAGAAATGCCTTTCTTAAGTCTCTTCCATTTTTGGAGAGAGCACACTCCTCCCCGCAGTTTTATCACCTAAAATAACCTTTCTGCATCATTTTGACTCAGACACTGCGCTCTGCATCCCACCGCACTCTGCGTCGTTAAATACCAATTGCTGCCATAACGCCTTCCAGAAAGCGCCATGCAAAATACCCTGCCATGGCACTGACCCGCAGACAAGCTCCTCTGAGCTTGCGACAGCACCCAGGACATAAACCATCACCTGCAGACCTCAGAGCTCAGCCCAGACGGCAGCGAGACCCTGTGCAGAGCCAGAGGCACGGTCCCCGGACTCACCACGTGCAGCGCGGCACCCCGCCAGCGAGCGGGAGATGAAGTTTGCTGGCTGCAGGCTAACGAACAGACCCATCGTCAGCCACTCCCTGATCTCAGTGTGCTGTGCTTTCCCACATCACCTCTCTGCTTGCATTTCTCTGCGAGTCCTGCGAGATCTCCGGAGCCAGGGAGGTCGAGTGCTTTCTGGGCAAGGGTCCACGTGTGATGGGGACTGGGGGTCTGCACCCTGCAGCTGCACGGCCAGTAAATACTAATGTGCTAGAGCTCAGTACCGGTGCTACAAAAGCCTGATTTCAGATTAATGATCTCCTCTCTGCACTGCAGAACGTGAGCATGCCCCATAACCAGAGCTAAAACACAACAAGGTGCGGAAACAGGCTGCAAATCAGCTGAGAGCTGTTAAAAAATAACCAGTTTGGGGGCACATGGGCCCTTATTTAGATCTAGAAAACAGCTATCTCAAACCTAAGCGCAGGTTGAGAACTAAGCTGCTGTAAGGCGGTTGTTTGATGGTCGCTCAGTTCAGAAGTGCTGTATCCAGCTGCTGTGGCCAGTCCCCTGCGCCACAACGTACCAGCTCCCACGACACGTTGAGGCTTGCTGGGAGGGAAGGCAAAGGTAAAGGAAACCAGGGAAAGCAACTATCTCGACTTTAGAACAAAAAATCCACGTCATAAAAACACAACCCTGTGTTATACAGGTTCACAGTTTATATTACCAAAATACGATAGTCTGGGTTTCACTTCTATCAAATTCTACCAAGAGTGAAACCCAATGCAAGCAATTTAACCTGGCACTCGCTGCAGGCTCATAGCAGGCATTAAGGTACTTATTAGTCAGACTGCCGTTTCCCTATGCTAAAAGCCGAGTCTCGAGATTTTGCCATAGGGATTTCGTGGTAGCTTTGTGCACTTGCTGCGAGTCTGCATCGGTAGCCATCCAGCCTTCGGACTCCCAAAATGCTCAGAACCTACAGTGTTCGGGGGATGTTCAGTGCAAATCAGTTAGCATTTCTGCAGAACTAATACTCCTCTAATTGCTTTGCAGAGGTGCAGCGAAGCTGTTCCCCTGGCAAGGGGAAGCTCTTTGGTGCTCAACGGATGGTGCTGCAGATGGGCCAAGCGTTACCATCTCCCCGCGTCTCTTCCCTGCCTCCCACCTGCCTAACACTCACCTTAAAAGACTGCACAAATGTCCAGAGCAAGATGCGGATAGTGTAACCCTGGCGAAGGAGCTTGATAAGTCTTGCTGCCCTGAAGAGCCGCAGGAAGCTGAGGTTGATGAAGTTGTCCTGCGGAAAGTAAAGGTTTTGTGTCCTTCAGAAATTAACGCGATTAGAAACCACAGCCCGCAAAAAAGAAATTAAAATTACCAGCTTCACGATCTAAGCAGCAAATCGGCCACCAGAAAACCTTCCAAAAGAAACATTCGTCAGTGCAGATCACTCCACATGCAGCAAGTATGAGAAAATCCCTCTCCACAAGAGCCCTCCCCTCTGCTACTGGGTCAATGATAGAAAAGGAAAAGGCCCTTTCACGCTGTCCATGGAGGTCTTGTTTTCTTTGAGTAAGGCAGATTTTTCTCCCCCTAAAGACTCAGGGAGAGGTATTGGTGCCACATTTTCGTTTTGTAAAGAACAAGGTTGTTCTGAAGTCTTGGTCAGCTCGCTTTCTACAATGAATTGAACTTAAGCCAAGACAATTGCAAGGGACTGAGTATATAGCCTCTACCGTAACAAAGAAAGGCATTGTCCAGTGAAGAATAAAACATCCTTGAAAGAATGAGGATGTTTTCTAACCTGCAGGTTTTAAATGTTTATACAACATGTGACTGGACAGGCTCGTCAAGGAGAAATGGCACCAGCAAGACTGTTTGGAAGATGGACCAACGGCAGCAAATCAATTGGGGAGATTGAGCGTTCAACAGCAGGAGGGTGCCTTAGGAACCTGCTGATTTTTTTAATTATTATTAAATGTGCCTTTGCAGGTGGATCAAAGAAATGCTGGAGACAGATTCTGATTTCCATTTGTTTTGTGTGATTCTCCCCACCCCCCCCTCCTTTTTTTTTTTTCCTTCACTTTCTTTTCTTGCCCCAATGAGCTAATCTAGAGAGGGTTCTTTCCAAAACAAAACATGCAAAAGCCAGATCCCTCTTGCCCTCCTATTTTAAGGAGATAAAAAATATCCCCCCTTTAAAAAAAAATTCCAATTCACTTATTTGTGAATCTCTGTTCACAGCCATGTATTTGACTGAGTTAGCTAAAGAGAGAAAGCATCCCACTTTAAACTATCAAGCAGTAGAGTGGAAAATATAATCATAAGGAGCTCTTGTTGGTAAAGATGAGCAAAAACAGTCTTTCCCTTGTATTATCGTTTTACCAGAAGACACCCAGTCATATTGAACTGACCCACGTTTCTTGCTCATTTGGCTACAGAGCTCATGCTGAATTTGGGGGGCTTGTTGGATCTATTAAGTTATTTAAATGCCAGCTCAGTTTTGGGGCCATTAGCATCGCATTCCACCAATCCCATCAAAGAGTTCAAGAAATCAGTCTCAGGCATGCACTCGGTTTCTTTCATGTTAAAAACGCAAGCAGCTCAGAGTTAGGCACAGACCGTATATCAGACTCAATCCTCAAATAAAGAGAAAAGAGAAAAGCACAGGTATGTTCAATGAAAGAGCAGACAACACTGAGCTCATTCAAGTCAGCAACAGAAATCAGCTCTGGCAGGCAAAACACAAGCGAGGATTCCCCTGGGTTGTTCAAGGTCAGTAAAACGTGCTAAAAATTCAACATTTGTCTCTCTGTCAGCTTCTGGTTTATTTATCACATCGCTTACGCTCCCTTCACAAAATACTGAACCCACCTCGGCAGGTAAGGGCCATCTAAGGCCAGGGGGGCAGAGCAGGACAACCGGGTGCCATCCCTAATCCTGTCCTTCGGAAGCTGTTCCCCCGCGCTGGCAGCGGGGCCAGCCCACGCACCTCCGCGGAGCAGTGGCAGAGGGGTCAGCGCAGGGCAGAGCTTTAACCCAGAGCCCATTTTAATCACGGAAAGTTTGGATCAGAGCTTGTGTGTAATGTTCATGGCACTGGGGCGTCAGGCCTGCAAGTCTGATGAGTTAGTACCTCCAGAGCAATGCTCAAGCCAGATCTTTCCTGTGCGCAAGCCTAACGCTCCTCCAAGGAGCACGTGCACAGGATCCGTCTCTCTGCAACTGAACCTGCCTTACCTCCTTCTTCCCACGTTACTGCAGCTTAACAGCAAGAACATTGTTTTGCTCAGACTTTGCTATCATCTCATAATCGCAGCGGATGTGATGCTTAACATCTGCTTTGGTCGAGGCTGACTGCAAGGTCACGCTTAGTACAGGCTATCCCTGTGCTGCGGGAGGCTTTACACAGGATATTCCGTATACGTGCAAAATGAAACAGGGGCCCAAAACTCTGCAACTGTGTCTATACCCCCCTACTCCCTGCGACTTGGAGGGACACACACTCCGTAACCTTTTATTTCACTTTTTTCCCTAGCCCCAAACCCCCCCGATTGACTCATGCACTGCCATTTCCTACAGCTCTGCGGGGAATCACTCGCAACCCAGGAAAATCCACCATGGCCACCACTCGCAGACCGTTCGAAGGACCGTTCTCTGCGCTGTTCGTAGGGACGCAAAATTGCACACGCTCGTGATGTATGGAAGGGCTCCGCGTGTGTAACCCTCGGCACACCGCGTAGAAAACCCGTCCTTCGACAACTCAACTGTCCAGGCAGGTACTAGAATTGCATGCAGTTAAAGGGGAAACTCCACATTGCAATATTTCTTGGGTATAACAGTGTTTTACACCAATTTTCCTCACACTTAGCCGCCTCTGTAACGTGACACAGACATGATCAACTTCTGGGTTATCGAGGTCTGTCTTTCTGGGTTTTTGTTTTCATTTCTGTTGCACAGATGCAAAAGGCTGACTGGTGCTTCACAAGAGCCGCCATAGCTTTATGAGGATGAGCAAATTATGTCTGAAAAACATTTCCCCTGGCCTGCCACTATTTTCCTAAAAGAGGGGGTGCTGGTACCGACGGCACCCCGCCACCCGGCAGGCTTCCCATGACAGGAGCGTGACTGAAGCTCAGCCGGGCAATGCATCCCTGGAACAAACTGCAAAGCAGGAGGGAAACAGGGAGAAGAGACATCACGGATAAAGAACTGGCCTTGACTGCTGTCCTGCCATGGGCAGCCAGCTCCTTTACCCTTTGTTAGGGTGTTTTCCATAGTAAAAAGCAGCATGAAGAACAGGGCGTACAGCCATTGCCCAGATCTGTTCCTCCAGCATCTTCAGCAGCAGAGTGGTTTCTTCCCCAGCACAGGAGCTGTGCCTGCTGTCCACTGGGATGCAGAATGAGCTCCACCAGCTCAGTAGATTTAGTACTTTGCATTTTTAAACTCGCAATGGGAGTATGAGGATTTTATGCCATGGCTGGACGTGCTCTGCAGGATTTAGTGAAGGAGACTATGTTACACTGCCACAAAGCAATAAACTCAGCAGAAGTTGAGTTGCTCATCTCTGCTTCTTCCTGCAGCCCAGGTGCAGAACAGAACCGCCCCCCAGACTTGAAACTTCAGGTGTCTGTCCCAAAAATGAAGAGCTCACCCAAATTTGCAAAGAGCTGTGGGAAGAGGAGTCTGACCAAGCCAAGAATGGGATCACTCAGGAAGCTTTGGCAGTTTGCTTCATCTGGCATCAACAAGAATTAATCCAGTCTGCTAAGGAACTACCATAGAGGAAATGGTTGTGTTCCCATTTAAATGTCCATGGCATTGCCAGTTCTGAAGAAGAGCTACTGAGTCTTGCACAGCGTCTTGGCTTCCTCTGAAGCTTGGGAAAACCTTTGCTGAATTGAAGAGGCTGAAGGTTTTTGCCACACTTGTCTGTGCCGTGCAGACTCTGCCGTTACAGGCTTGTCACATCATGTCCTTTCATCCTGAGCCAGGAACACTGGGAAATGATTTTATAAATGTGTGATGCTCAGATCTCTCCTTGTTCCCTACTAACTTTCAACTTTAGTGCTTCATTGTAGGCTTCCGTCATCTGCAGTGGAAGGAGGAAGGCAGCTCCAGAGGGCACCTTGGTGCTCCAGAGATCTAACTTGGACGCCTTGGATGCCGAGTGATGGAAGGAGCCTAGACCTGCACATACGACCACAGAGACAAACTGCAAGATGAGCATTTAAATCGTTAACCTGCAACATGGATGGCAACAAGGCCAAAATCCGTCCAAATGGAGATAACCTGATTTATTCAGTATATTTTCATATGCACAGCTGATACCAGAACACTTATCTCTGCTGCCTGGGCCAGGGGTGCTCCAAGGTGGGTTGTCTGAAGACGTCCTCACAGCTCCCGCACATCTGTAATGCTTCCAGCCACCACCGCACACGCAGAGGATTCCCTTGTCAGATTACACTACGCAAACTTTTAACTTATACATTGTCGTTTTCTTCTTTGCTATTTCCTAGGAGAAAATTTCTCCCTGTAACCCTCCATAGAGCTTAGTTGCAGTCTGTCATGAAGCTTCACTCTGATTTGTTTCTTAACAGCAACTGTGCAACAGAAAGTCCAGATGTTAACACAGATCTAAGAGGTGTTGTCAGGTGGCCAAGCAAGTATTTTTGATAAGCTTATGGTCTCATTTGTATTATTAACCATAGCCAAGACAATTAGAAATGGAAAAAAAAAATATATACATATTATTATTTTTTAGATTGTATTTTTTTTATTCATCCTCCTTTGCTTAATTTATGATTTGCAAAGACAGAGGCCAGTATTTCCAAAGGCATCTCTGGAATCAGGCACTAAATTCCCAGTGAGATCTGGTTCCCAGTACTTTTCAGCCCTGTTCATAACATGGCTTATGCATTTTGCTTGAGACGTTTGCTTTTGCATCCAGGGACTCTGTGTCCACTGTGATGGCAAAATGCTTCTATATGCTGGTATCACAAAAAGTTTTCAAACTGAATAAAAATCACTTTTCCCTAGGATTTCTCTTTTGAGGGAAGTAAGTTTGTAAACACCTCAGTAATTTTTTTTGCCTTACAGTACAGTGTAAACCACGGGCTTAAAATATCTGTAAGGCAGTCCTCTTAAATGTACCGCTTCCCTGTGCGGAAAGCTCAACACACCTCATTGTAAAAAAAAAAAAAAAAACCCAAAACCAAACTGATTTCCAAGAACTGAATTTGGTACCACCACTTACAAAACGAAGGGTTTTCCCAGCCAGCCAATCTTCTCTACTCCGGGTCATCCAGAAGCGTCCTTCCCTCCTATTCTCATTCAATTTTCCACCAAAATAAAGCAAGTGTCAGTCTCCCCTTTATCATTGTCAGGTGTAACAAACAGCGGAGAACAGGCTATTGGTAACTGCATTTGCCTCACGTCACCAATTAGCCAAGGGGAAGAAGATGCAGAACAGAAGCCAGTTTTGAGGCACGCTGCAGTGAGGCTTTTTCACCAGTGCAATCGGAAATCTCATCAAAACAAATTAAATTAAAGAAAAACGAGAGAAAATAAAAGCAGAGAATTTAAATAATTGTTTAAATTCAATGAAACCAACCGTGTCCTATATGTGATGTTTTCATGGATGGATATTTGCAAGATTATTTACAAATTTTTTTTTTTTGAGCAGCAGGTGCACAACATACAGACGGAGACATGGTTTTCGCATTGTATGTTGATTGGATGGCGTGATTCAGCAGGTAGATAAGGAAAATAAAGAACAAAACAGGAAACAAAAGAGAAAATGAGTAATCAGGACAAGCAAAAAAGGAAACTCTGAAAATTTCACTGGAAAAAAAACTGTTGGGCTTTTGGGGGTGTTATTTTATGATAATTATATAAATAAAAAATGCTTCAAACCAAAACAGATTCTGAGATCCTAAAGGTAACACAGACAGTGCAGTAGTTATTTGCATTTCATTTTGTAATGCAAATTGGGAGACAATTCACAAACACTTCTCAGTATGTTTTTTATATTTCCAGGCATAGAAGTAGATGTCAGTTTGCCATACACCCATTCGGCCTCCTGAGACCGGCTGTGTCCACAAGGACACCTTCTCCTTGATGCCACCTATTTTACTACTTTACTTCCATTACTGGGAGGGTAAAAAACTGACATACATAGTTTTGCCTAAGGAAATAAAAAAAATATATATATTCCACTGCATTCACAATGTAAATTACATATGACATGACTACAAAATCAAAATAAAGCAATTAATCAACACTTTTCTTTTCCTTTTATCTTTACTTTTCAGTGGGTTAAAAGTACCAATGCAACAAGGCTGGTGGAAGCCTAGTCTCTCAAGATGAGACCACCCAGGTGAGCAGGTTTGTTTACCTTGGAGAACATGTATAGCTTGAAAACACAGGCATGGAGAAAAGCGGTGCTCCTGTAACTATTTGCGAGCCTGATCTCCAAGTCATGCCCAGAAAGCATCCCCTCTCCGCAAGGAGCTGGAGGGCTCCAGGGGTGGCTGTTACCGGGACAGATGCTGACAGTCGAGTTCACGTTGTGGCTGTGTGAAGGGGGAACATCAGGGCTGAATGCACGGGCAAGGACTAATGGGGCTGCCACCCAAACATCCCCACGGCTGCCCATCAGCCGAGGAGAGCCTGGAGCTGAGGAAAGCAAACGGAGAAGAGAGCATCCTCCATTGGGGACGCAGCTCTGAGTTGTGATGAGTAAAGACCTGCTCTCCTCTTTGGTTGTACTCAACTCCATAACGGTGCAGAGAGCTGCTGTACCCTCGGGCATGCACCGAGCCAGAAAGTTGAAGTGGGGTTAAGCATTTTGTGTGGAGGGGATGTTCATCCCGGTCCTTAGCTACTATTGTCTCCTGCCTGGAAAAGTAAAGGGCCGAAAATGGCAGGGCAGAGGCAGCTGGATTAAAGACTCAAGGCCGTACACCTGATCTGTGCTCTGCAAATGAGGCACCCACCAGTCCCCACCTTGGTCCCTGCTGTTTGCAGAAGGCATGCTTGCTATCACTGCATCAGGTTTTTCAGCCCTTTTCTAATTTTTTTAATTGGTTCTGAATTCCCGAAGTATTTAAGTGACTTAGGTGCAATTCCAGTTGAACAAAATAGCAGGTTATGTATTAAAAAGAAGGTTTAAAGTGTAACTCTTCCAGGTTATACATGCACCGTGCCACTGTCCAGGCAGCAAAACAGTCCTGGTGTTTCCCAGGCAGCCTTGGGACACTTTGGGTTTCCCCTTATGCACTGTGGGTCAGAATAACACACGTTGCAACCTATTGCGGAGCCAACGAAACGGGACCAGAGCAGAGCGCTAGATCCTTCTGCGTGTTTTCCACCCTACGTGCCATAGCCTGTCTGCAGGACTGGAAGGAGAAGGTGGCTTGCAGTGGCAGTGGAGATCCTGGTACAAGCCTACCTCCACCACATGCCACTGGATGAAGCAAATGAACTGCTCTGTGAAAGACATCCTGAAAGCCATTAACAATTCTGTTATAAATGTAATCTGTGGGGCACCATTGCAAATTCCCACTCGTGTAACTAAACACTGATTCTGAGATTTGTGCATCGATGTCACCTTTAAGCAAACTAAACTCCTAACGCCTTTTCAGCAGGCCGTGCACAATGCATTTGAACTCTCAGCCCGTGGTCCCTGTCCGAGGCCAAGAGGTGGACGTGAGCAGCTTAAGGCAGCGTACACCGGTGGCTACAAAAGCCCTTCGGTGCGGATGAGCGTGCTGCTGCTGATGGGCGCGGGCTGGAGAGAGATCAGAGAGGAGCTGTATGACAGAAGTTTTGAAACACAAGTCTAGCAAGAAGGTGTGTGTGTGAGGAACCTCTGGGCACTCTCTGTCTGCAGGGGAAAGGAGACATGATGGCTATACTGAAACGCTGCAGAAGGGGAAGATTCAGAGAGCGCAGAGCTCAAGTAGGTCTATGGATGGAGACAGAGGACCAAGAGGTCAAGGCTGGAGTGGTACATATGGCTCATGTTTGTGAGCAGCTTTGTATTGGACACACTGCCAGAGGAAGCTGCTGAACTGCATTAGAAAGTCCTCTCTGAGGTTTGACTTAATGGATCTGGTTACTCATAACCCAAAACCCTCTCCATTACCACCTGGGAGGATAATGGAAGGATGTGTAGGTGCTTGGGAGCTTAACCCTATTGGAGTTTACTGACTGTTTTTAGAGGTAATTCAAACTGCTCTCCAAAGGCACCCCCAAATTCCAGCTATCTGATGCTGGAAACCAGAGAAATTACTGCAGAGTGGAAGGGGGACGCCGTCACTCCCAGCACCCTTGACGTTACTGCGTCAGTGCCTGCCGACTCTCGCGAGGGTATGTGGGAGAACATTTACTCTCCAGCCCAAAGACCAGGAGAGGGATGGGGAACTTCTGCCTACGCACTAACTCTCCTACCCCTAATAGTTGGCCAGCAGCGCCAAGGGACAGCTGCTGGGGACGTGTGTATACAGTCCCAGACGTGCTGTGGCTTTGTCTTAAATTCGGTGACGTATCACAGCCCAACCTGATCAGTCCGTAGCCAATTCCCCAGGTGCCAGACAGCCTTGCTGAGGCTGGGCCACCCCCATGGGAGCTGGAGGGAGAGGCAATGGCCTGTTAACCGGGCAGGGACTGCTACCTGCCGAACAGGGAGTGCGCAACACCGATGGCTGCTCTCCGCCTGAAAAACAGCTGTACAAAGGAGGATTTAAAAAGAGGCATGTGGGCTTCGTTTTGCAAAGAAGACACCTTCCTGAAGGAGAAGATACCAATCTCGGAGAGACCACAGGCTCCCTTACCATGTGCAAGATGGATGTGTTGCTTCCTCCCAGTAAAAGCGGCCAAAGGAGGGGTGGAAGAGAAGCGTTGATCTCTGCTTGTGGCTGACTTGCAAATGTTTGCATAAATTTTCAAACCAAGGCAAAGTTTTGGGTGCCTGACTTTGGCAAGCAAGCGCGTCCCACGACAGAGGGAGCGGAGGCAAGCACCCAGAACCTGCCTACGGTGCAATAAGTCTCCTAAGCACTCAGAGAAGTGGTAGCCAGACCTTGCATTTGATCTGAGTGACTTTACCCTGGCTGTAAGCCATGCAAAGAAAACAAAAGGTAATCCAAAGTCTACGAGACAGGATTCACCAACTGTTAAATGAACACCATTCATGCAGGGAGTAAAACTTTGGGGGTTTGTTTGTTTGTTTGTACCAAGGAGGTTAGGTAATAATGTATTTTGTTAGAAACAGTAATATGGTCTTCACCACCAGCTGAATGTCCTGTAAAGAAGTCTGGGGAGCATAGTTCTTAGCACGCACAAAACAGATCTATAAGCAAATCCCAGGAACTGAGAAAAAAAATATGGTAAAGTTCAAATTCATCACATACAGATACAGCATCATCAGCTAAAACATGCATTGGGAGAGGAGAGGAGCAATTTATAAATTGGATAATATCAGGCTGTCAAGGCTTGAGTCAGACATTTGCTGCCCTTATGGAAAAATCCTCCAGAATTTAATAGCAAGTTTGTACACTTGTAATCTACAGGACTCATTAGCAGGGAGAGAGCAGTCATTCTACAGTTGTTTGTTTTAATAATTGCCCTGGCAAAACTTCTGTGCATTTAACAGAAATGCACTGCGGTCCCCCCAGTGCAGACTGTGCAGGCTGATGAGTTTCTGGTTGTTTCTATGTTCCCATCACCTCTCCCCTTCTCACTCCTCTTATCACCTTCACTCTGCCCCGTGACCAAGATCAGGTAAAAGCCCCAAGGGACAAATATGTGTGTGTGCCCTGTGAAGCACCTCACACTATAAAACAGCACTCTTCACCAGAATCTTTTGATCTTTTCCCTCTATTAAATTCAACAGGATTTTTCCATTAGTAGGCAAAACCATCTCGGGGTTAGAGTCGTTTGCTGAACGAGAAAGTGAGGTCGTTTCCCGGCAGAGTCACTAGCACTGGTGTTCCCATCACGGCTTTTTGCGTGAAAGTCTTTGGGGTAGACAGCCGTGCTCAGCTCCATGGAAGGAGCAGAGCTAATGGAAACAGGCTGCAGGGTCACCCAAGGACATCATCACACGATGAGTCCCAGAGGCAGCTCTAGGGAATAAGGCTGGTAGGGAGAAGGTGCAATGTCTTGACAGGGTACAGCTTTGTTGGTAAATGAAGCAAATTGAGCAAACTGTACTTACCGCAATCTCTGTTACTAAAATATCAGTAATACTTCCCAACACTGTCACAAAATCAAAGACATTCCAGGCATCTCGGAAATAATTCTGCCAAATGAAAACACAAGGGGGACAGAAAGATCCAGGGGTTATTTTTTGTTTGTTTGTTTTGAAATGCACATCATGAAATTCAAGCATTTCAGGTAGAGAGGAAACAGTTGAAAGTAAATGAGGAAGGCACATACCAGCACACCAAAGGCAATGATCTTCAGCACACATTCCATTGAAAACATAGATGTAAACACAATATTCAGGCATTTCAACATTTCTTCATATGCTTCTGGAGCATCATAGAACTAAACCAGGATGGAAGAAAGGCTGTTACTGGAAGATCACTTACAGAATAAAACTTTCCCACCTGACTTGCCTGACTGCAAGACTCTTGCCCTTTTTAGTGCCAGATGTTGTGCTCACTTCAGGCAAGACTTGGGGTTACAATATGATTATTCGTGCCAGTCCAGAAGCACACCATTGCCTACATGTTATCTTAATGGGGTCGCTGGGGATACACCCAGGATAGGGAGACTGTTGCGGGTGTACATCTCACTGTGAGCAAAGCATGGACCAGGAAGGAGAAAGGGCATTTTCAAAACCAGAGGACAAGTGCAGAACTGTGTTTCTTTCCAGCAGACCCTAAGAATATGGTGAGCCCAGCTCCCATCCCACTGGCCATAAGCTGAAAGGGCTACGAGCCAAACCGGCGCTGTGCAGGGCAATCCCACTCACAGTATCTCATCACAACTAAACCACCTCCCTTTGGGGACTGAAGGAATCCCAAAAGGCCTCTAAAACCGACATCAGGGAGATGAGAAGTGGCGATTGCTCCTGCTGATCCCCCCCAGCTCCCAGGGCAAGAGTACAAAGCCTCTCCAGCAAACACCACATTCGCTAGCCCAAAATAGCAAAGATTCAGTAACAGCCCACTAACCTTCATCATTAGGACAATGGTATTGAGTGCAATCATGACCATGATAAAATACTCAAAGGGAGGGGACACCACAAATTTCCACATCTTGTACTGAAAAGACTGCTTGTTCTGAGGCATGTAGCGGGTCAGTGGCTTGGCACTTATGGCGAAGTCTATGCAGGCCCTCTACAAAACAGAAATGGGATGAAAAGAATACAGAAAAAAGGGCTGGCAGTCCCTATCACTCAGGATATTGTTGGTAGAGCGAGCGGAGCATTTAGTGGAGGATGGTATTTCCAGTGTTTCTCACGATGAGAGTACTGACTACCCCTTAAAATGCAGCACAGGACCCCAAACTGTAATCACTTTTGGACACTCACTGAACTATTAAACCCCACAACACTCCTATGGCCCCCTGCAATCCTAGGAGACAGCCTTCCATCCCAGCAGGTCCCAATCCCTTCCCACTTAGGGAAGGGAGTTACAAATCCACAGGCTCGCTTCAGAAAACACTCTGCCAATTCCTCCTGATATGTAATTGTAGAAGCTGGAGGACTGGTAAAGATGTCATCTGTGGTTTTAAAAAAAAGTATTGTGAAACCCAGGTATGTTCTCACACACAGCAAAACCTGTCCAGCTAATAACATTTCATAAAATGTGAACTGAACTCAAACAATAAGTTATCCAACAAACATTACTGGGTGAACTCTCAAAGACCCCCTTAGTTGGCTATTTCTGTTCACATTATTATGAGTACAAAACTGCATTAAAAATTGGTTTCTACCCACAAGAAGTTTTTATTCTGGAGCATTTTCTCATCTTGGATTTAGATAAGAATTCAAAGTCTTAACTTAGTGCAAAAATATTTTCTGCTCAGTAGAAAAATAATGTGGGTAAAGCATCTCTAAATATTCTGCTTTATTTTGGACTTTTTGTTCATAGAGACAAACAACGCACTAATAATTGACTAAAAAGTAATCTCTTTTCATCAAAAATCAGGTTCCAGTTTCAAAATAAATGAAAAGAGATGGTTCTTCACACAACAGGTCATTGATGCTGTGGGGCCCCAGAGGAAGGATGCTGCGGATGCTAAAAATCTGCATGGATTCAGGAGGAAACTGGACACATTCATGGAAAAAAGATACACAGATGCCGCTAACTACAGAAAAAACATGTCCAATTCAGGAGGTTCCTGAGCTGAAAACTATAGTATTTGCTAGGACATTAAATAAAAGCCTCATATGTGCTTGCCCTCGTTTTACACTCTTCCCAAGGCATCTACTTGCTGTCAGGAGGACATCATCTCAGCCAGACACAAAACCAGCCTGGCAAGAGAAGTTTTCCTTTGGGGAGCTGTAGCAATTGTAGCTCAGTTTGCTTTCTGATGGCTGGCCTCTAAAAGGCCAAAGATTTCTGCTTCCTTTCACACCTACACACTTGAGCTAACATGCAAGTCAATATTCACTTTGAAGAGCAGGTGTGGTCCACAGGGACGTGTGACCGTGCTTACTAACATGCAGCATTCGGAGGCTCTTCCCTGGTTTTATTTTTATGCAAAAGCTGAAACAGTCTGTAATTTGTTTGGTCTCTGCACCACACACCCTCAGGTAACGACTGCTCTAAAGCCCCCCACGGCACGGGAGGGACGAGGAGTGGGATTCCACCAGTACCGAGGTACTCTGAGACCCCAGGTGCTAACTCCGGATTCAGAAGACGCAGGTACCTCGTTTTTCTCGAGGCTGCACTCTGACATCACTTTATCTCCTTGCTCTTGGAAGGTGATGATGATTAACGCCACAAAGATGTTCACAAAGAAAAAAGGGAAGACAACAAAATACACCACGTAAAAGATAGACATTTCCATTCGGTAGCCAGGGCTGGGACCCTGTTCCTCGTAGGTAGCATCCACCGAGTGCTTCAGCACACTGCAATCAAGCGCAAAGAGAGAAGAAAAGTCAATGAAATCAGTGTGAAGCACCAATGACACCCTGACAGTCACACACTGGCCTTCACTCAGCGTGGAGGGTTTTCCAGATATGCTCAGGTCAAACTCACTCCCATCTCTATGGCTGGGAAGAAGTTTTTCTTGAGGATATTTTTAGGGAAACCCTTGCTGTTTTCACCATTCTGCAGAATGATGGAGATTTGCTACATACAGATCCACTTATCCCCCTGGCCAAGGGGGGAGGATACAGTTAGATCTGGCTTCTCTTCTCTGGTCAACAGGGATGAAGTAAGGGTGGGAAAAGAAAGGTGTTGATGATCTCTTGAATAGGGGGACACAGTGAGGGACTGGAGAAGGGAGACTGAAGCTGTATGTTTTATTCTCTATTTTATGAAATAGCTGAATGTGGAGGACAGGGAAGGCCTGCCATGGAGAAACCCTGACCGTGAGTTGTACTCCACGTGTCCCTGCAGAAAAGTGTGCCAAAATAAAGTCATGTGCTGAACAGTAAATATAATTTTGGGACTGTCATACCCAGCATACTTTCAGCATAGGTCACAATACTTTTTCCCCTCATTTTCTTACATTCCCATTATCAATTTTACACAAGAACGACGTGCAAGTCCAAAAGACTGGAGCAAATAAGCTGTTAAGTACTGAAAACTGCCCTAAGCATCCTTGTGCAAGCTCAGAAGAACATCAAGAAAAATGCAGAGCCCTGCCTGCTCATTCACCCAATAATCACACAAGGGAAAGTAAAAGCTTAGCTGATAAAAGACTTTTCTTATATCACAGGTCACCTGCCATTTACGTGTCCCTCAGAGCTGTGGAAAGCTGCCGTTACCTCCACGATCACTAACCCTCCAGTCCCGTGTACTCACGTTGGCCACCCTTCGCCTGTGGAGACGGTGAAGAGCGTGAGCAGAGCCCAGAGCACGTTGTCGTAGTGGAACTCGTATTTTTTCCATTCCCTGGGCTGCGCCTCCACCTCATTTTTTTCATAATCGAGGTACTGACCCCTAGGAAAAACAGAGATTCAGACCAAATGAAAGAATTAAAGCAAATCAGCCATTTCATATAACTTACTGAGGAGCATCGAAAAGCCCCAGTAGCAGAGTCAGACTGTGCTGTGTATTAAAGACAAATAAAGAAACAGGCCCTAGGTTTGTAACAGAAGTAAAGGCCATTTTTGAGCCATTTTGAGTCACAGGAACTGGACCTGACATCTAGAAATGAAAGAAATTGTAATCAGGACATTCATCCATCAGGCAAAGATGGCAATTAACAGCATGCTGGCCCCCAAATTGTCTGACCCCACAGAAAACTGCTGCTTGATGGGGAAAATCTCTGGCTCCTACTTGAGAGTTGGATCTAACTTCTAACTGGGTCCTGCATTGAGGGGCTGAGGGACCCGGCATCTGGAGAGTTCCTCTCCAACCTACACTTTTCCCTGATCTCACATTTCTGTCTGTAATATATCTGCGGTATTGCAAGGAAGAACTGCAGCGACAGCCTCCGTGGCTGCTGCATGCATGTGGTCCCACCAGGGACGTGCCCTGTACTCGCAAGGCGGCAGGAGAGGGGTAACACAGGCAGACCTAGACAGTAATGAGGATGCGCTTTGGGTGCCAAGAAAAAAAAAGGTGAGAAAGACGCACATTGTGGTGAGTAAAGCACCTTGACAGTCTGCTGCAAAGGACACAGCATGACAGGGCTTTTAAGATATTCAAATACTGGCCCCTTTTCTAGCTAATTAGGAGCTCTTTAACTTCCTACCGATTCACTTCTGATTATTTATTCATTATGTTTTTCTAATTCATATGAGCCCTAAGAATCAAGGCAGCAGGTAGAAAAAGGAATCACGCCATCCCTTCAAAAACCCTCTACCTTCAAATCACACCTAGCCCTCCCTGGGAAAAGAAGCCCGCTCCTCTGTGTCATTAAGCACTTGGGTAATCATTTGCTAGATCAGAGGAGGGAACGGTGCAGGTATTGAAACAAGAAAAGGGAAAATTCACCTCCAGGGTAATTGTGCTGAAGCATTGCTTTTACTTACAGGAGACTCATCAAGCTCAGCCGATAGCCAACTGATGCAGCTTTGGGACAGCCAAGGGAGCTGCTGCTGGAGGAAGAAGGTCTGGGTCCCCCCGACAGCCCCTGCCCCAGGCCATACCTGCAGTCCTTCTCCAGCTCCTTCGACTCATCGGTGCAGTAGAAGAATCTGCCTTTGAAGAGCTGCACGGCAATGACGGCAAAAATGAACATGAAGAGCATGTAAACTATGAGGATATTGAGGACGTTCTTCAGGGAATTCACCACACAGTCAAAGACAGCCTGGGGATGGAGGAGAACAAGGTTAAGGGGTTGAAAAAAAGAAAAGTGCATCTAACATCTTGCCATCTAATATCTATGTACACTTGGGAGTAATTACCCAACCTACAACCCAAGCACGGTTTCATGGACTTGCACACCAAGGGTTTGACCAAAAGTCATACTCCAGCTGTGAGAAACACCACCGGCTTCCTACATCTCTTTCTTTCTTGGTGAGTGTGGCTGCACCACTGAATTGTCTGGTGCTGCCCATAAAATTTGTAAAGGCAATCGCAGCTTGTTGAGATAAATATTAGTCCTCAGCAAATATTTCCATAGGCAATTATAAAATGAAAAATGTACTTGTGTTTAATTTATTCCCAGTGGATCGGGAAAAACTCATCAAATATGTTACTTGTTGACTGTTATTTGAACTGTTTGAATAACAAGGAAAATATACCAGATACAAAACTACCAAATGCTTCAAATAATATTTTTCTAATGAACTGTCTATCAAAATTAAGTGTGACTAATCTAGTCAGCATATGTCACTTCTGAACTCCCTACAAAGAAATTCTCAAATACATTTATTATTTGGTTATTAGTCACTGATTCGTTGTTACAAGTAATTTTCAGTTTAATTTTAGTGTGGGAAGTTTGTCATAATAATAGAAATTGAGCAGTCTTACTGCCCAAGTGCAGGGTTTGTACAATACTGTTCCTGTTTCTCTGAATGGAAGCGAATAATTCACAAAATTACGCTCCTGATGCAACCCAGAAATCCTGAATTAAAACACTGGAAATATCTCTAAATCACCCCATTAATCTTGCTGATTGTTGCATACTAGACCACATCCAGAGGAAAAAAAAAAAGAATTTTTGAAGACAAACCATACAAATATGACTCCTGCTTCACAAAAAGATTTCTGAATAGTTCTTTAGAAGTGGTAAAATTACTCTGTAAAATGGCTTGAAAATAAGACAGACATTCAATAAAAAGCAAGCATTCGGCATCCTGCTGTAGGACTGAGCTACTGTTGACTGTTTTAAGACCCAGGAGCTGTGCATTTCAAATTTCTAAACAAATAAAGACCATTTTCTACATTGTTCAACATTGCTCTTCCTTATCTTTTGAGGTAAATTTAGTATGCATAAAAATGCATAAAATCAAAATTATTTAAGCGTGAATTGTGGGTAAGGACAAAAGCAAATCTATGTAACAGCTGACCCTAATTTTTACGTGCCAACATGTGAAAACAAGAATTGTCAGACATCATTTTACCATTCCAAAAGCACCCATCATTTTTTCCTCATCTCTCATAGAAAAGAGCCTGCAAGCAGCGATGCCACATGAAGATGTTCTACAATAAGTACTCAAGAGTTCCCAAAACTCAGAAATTATTAAATTTTGTAACTCCTTCCATTCTCTGCTTCCAGGCGTTGGCTGTATCTCAGCATTCTTAAAACGGTGTTGAATGAGTAACCACAGGCCATTACGTTCATTTTACTTTGTAACTTAGTATTCCAGAGATGAGAGGGTACTGCTATAAAATCCTACACTATATATTCTTTAATAGAAAAGATGAACAGACTAAAAGTCCTCATACAGCAATGACATTTCGCTTTAGACAGACTGTGGAAAATCTTGCAATACTCATACCAAGTTCTCTAGGGAAAGTCAAACACTCCAAAATCTATTTTCTCCTGTAACATTTCTAAGAGCATCACACTTATGAACTGTAATTTAATTTATTTGCATTTTTTCTTTTCTTTTTTTAGAAGTTTGATTTTAATGTGGATTCACAATAATTCATAATATTGCACACAATGTTTGCAAAAGAAACAAGTGTTTGACATTTGCTAAACATCTGCACAGCTATTTTTATAAATGTGGCAAAAAAAGATTAATTGCAACAAAATAAAAGGAACAGAAATAACTTGGATGAAGTTTAGTCCATCAGCTTCCACTCAGATCAGTTGCAAACCTCCAGAGAAGGAAAGATTTGTGGTTATTCTCTAACCTTTAGTTTTGGCAGCCGTTTAATGGTCTTCAGCGGTCTTAGGACTCGCAGAACTCGCAGTGACTTGATTGTGTTGATGTCCTTGCCTTTGGTTCCCCTGCAAGGGATAAAAGGCACAAGAACAACAGAGGGAATAGTTTGGTCCTCAGGTCACTAACTAGAATATCTATAGGTTCCCAGTGTGGTTTTGGTTGTGGGCTTGTTTTGAGGGTTGTTTTTTACAGGTTTCGGGTGCCCTCCTTACCACAGATGCCGACTAGTGAGGGTAGCAGATGAACACTCACTTGAGATGCATTAATCACAGCACAGGAGGAAGGCTGCGGGCAGGACAAGGTCCCTGCAGCGTTCAGCCACATGCCCTCTCCAGCCTTCACTCACTTCCCAGCTACTCACCAAGCATCGCTCAGGAACTGGTGACCTTCCTGCCCCAGCTCCCCACCCAGGCAATGGTCACAGCCAGGGCAGCAGCACACCAAGGCTCAGTACAGTCATCCCAGCCCCAGGCAGAAGTGAGAAAGTCACACTTGGCTCTCCTCCCTCCCACACAGGAGGATGTTTCTCCATGTGCTTCTTGCACTTCTCTGGCAGGGACGTTGTATCTAGACAAGCAGACAGTGACCAGAGGGAACTGGAGCCTTCACGGTGAGGGACAGAGCTCTCCTGGGGACCAGAGCTGCTCCATGCCCGTACCCTCATCCTCAAGTCTCTCTTGGAAGACATGCTACTAAACCCATGCGGGAACATGTAATATGACGGCATATTACATGCTTGGAACAGTGCCAGGGCAACTTCCCACTTACGCATGCAGGTGCTGTAAGTCACATTCTGGTTTTAGTTTTTAGTAAAACTGAGTGCAAGACACGAGACTGTTCCTCTTGTTACCACTGAGGGGTTTTGGGGGAAGGACATAGTTCCTTTCCTCGTGCAATTCCAAAATAAATAAAAAAATTAATTTTTTCCCCCCTCCAGGACATAGTTACATCTTCTTCCAACCCAACAGCAAAACAATGACATTCCCTTTCATTTCATATGAAGTGAAAAATGGGATGAAAATCTTTAACAGAGTTTTACTGATGACTAAACATTTGGGTCTGAGATTGCACTGAAGTAACACAGGTGTGAATGAATAACATGTTGAGCAGATGCTGATATACCTATTCTATGCTTTTCCAGTTTCCTAAACGTTTCTCTTCAACAGGAAAGCAATAGAAACACAAGTCACTGGAGAGACCCACAAGAAGTATGTGCAGGTAGTGGACTGCAAAGCTTCCCCCACACCCTGCCAGCAGCCAGCCTGATGCACCATCCGAAGGGACAAGCACTGAGAGGGGAGGAAACTACCTGGTTTCGTGGCTGGCTGACCCTGCTCAGCCCTGGAAAGTGTCTTTTTGCAATCTATTCACTTCTAAAAGACTAATAACTCGATACTAATACTGTACTACTCAATACCAACACTGGACTGGAATCTGCAACCTAGAAACACACGTTCCTGTCTCCAAACAGTCACTGCAGATGTCCTGAAATGCAGTAAGCAGTGAGACACATGGAATTTTTGGAGAGCCGTGGGTTGTATCCCAATGACATTGAACACCAGTTGCCTTTGCACAAGATTTAACAGAAAGGGAGGGGAGGGGGAACAGAATGGAGATTTACCTTTCCTCTCCCTATCTCGTCTTTCAGGGCTGCTTTAGGGCCATCTTCATCAGCCACACATGGATTCTGACCACAGCTGTAAATCCAGGTGGTTGAGATGCAACTCATGGAGTTACAGGACCAATTTAATGCCACAAAAGAACTATTATATATTTGGAAGAAATCGGGTTTTTATTGTCATTAAAGACCCTTTAATCTGGTCTGGATAAAGCAGACACTGCCAACATAGCTTTTACTGGCTTTCTCTTTAGGTTTTAGCATAACTGAAGATCTGTCCCATGTTTGGCTTCACATACTTGCTTTCAAATCACCAACTCAAGCAAGCAACAATCCTGTCACTGCAGCCTTGTCACCATAGCCTGCAGATGCGCCAGCCAAACCAGAGCTCACCTCCTCCCTGGGCATCCTTAGCAATGACCTGGATGCAAAACAATTTGTTCAGCCTCTTGAGGAGGACAGTCAGTGGCAGAAGGGAAGCAGAAGTTGAAATAGGTTACGAGGAAGGAGATACTACCAGGCTTGGCCAGCCAGCTCATCCCCATGGCTGATGGTCACCCAGCATATGCCCATCACCTTGACTGCCCCTGTTGCTCCCGCTGCCCTCTCCACTCCGGAAGGCAAAGGAAATCACTTGGGTTGCTCCATGTTTCCCAGCCATTTGGTATTTAACTGGGTGAGGAAGACAGGGCAGAAGGGGATGAAGAGAGAGGAACTGAGGAAAGCAGAGGTGAGAGAAGAATGAGAGGGTTGAGGGACATGTGGTTGGGGCAGTAGGACAAGGAAGAAAAAAGGTGGGATACTTTGGTCCAGAACTATATTCAATTCTTGATCATTTGTGGCCACGTTTCTGGTTTGCAGATTAAGACACAGAGCCCAGCTTAGCAGCACAGCCACTGGCAGGAGGCAACTGAACTGATAAACGTCCACAGTCCTCACGGGGGTTCAAGCAGAACCAGAGAGTACTTCTGCATGGTGCCTCCCAGCACTCCTGATTCCAGATCTAAACACCTATTTACTACCCTGCCAGGCATTTGCACTAAATAACAACTGTACTAATAAGATCTCCTGGAAGTGACGTTCAAGATGAGAACAGACACTTGTAGGCTCAGAAGGATCTAGCTCAGGTCTCGCAGGGCCGGCTCCAAGCCTGAAGCAACCTCCTCTGTGGACTTCATATTTCTGGGAAGGTTAAGCAGACCTGCTGGGGACTAGTGAATAGCTGGGGCAGAGCAAACCCTTCCTCTTGGCTCTGAGAGGGAAAAAGCTGGTTTTCCCTCGCACGGGGAGGCGCGCGGATGACTGCACTGAGAGCTGGGAGGTGAAGGGCAGGCAGCTCCAGTCCTACAAAATTCCTTCTGCCTGAACAGAGGACACTAAGAAGAGTTGATTTTTTTTTTTTTTTAAGACTGTGAGCCAATTAAATTTTAATGTTATTTATGATCTAAGTCATACAGAGAATCCTGAAAAGTCATACTTATTTCTTGTCACAGTAAGGTTCCTGCTATAGGAGAAAGCTTTTTCAACAAACTAGTACTCTGAACTAGAGCGATGCAAATTGCATTTTAATTAAATGGAACTTCTGCAACTATTTCAGCCTGTCAAATAAAACCTTGAGGGTTGTTTTCGGTGTTTTTAAGAACCCCCTCTGCCAATACTGTTTTTTACACTGCTAATACAAAACCAGATGTCCCACAAAATAAAAGGTCCAGATGGAACTAGAATTCAGTCAAAAGGTGTATACAAATACACAGCTGACCAGAAGATTTCTCACAACAAAAATTAATTGCTATGGAAGGATAAGATTTTAGGTGACTACAGAATAACAGCTACAAAATTCAAAAGAGCTACAGAAGAGCAAGTAGGATAAAGACAGACAGCAAACAGAAGCCCAGTGACTTAAAAACAAACAAATAAACAAACCCCCAAAACAACAAAAAACCAAACAAGCACCACAAGAAAAAAAAATGCATTAGGTCAATTCTGTTTGCATTAGGCCAGTTCTGTTTTTTCTGGGGCTGTTTGTTGCTCATTTACTTAAAACATTAAAAATATTTTAAAAGAGCTTTGCATGGCCTTTTTTCCTTTAAAAAAATAAAAGATCCTTTAAAAAATTAATAGTTCTTTAAAATGGAAGCTTCTTGTTTCTGTAGCTCCTGCCAGCAGCTCTGATTTCATGTAACATGGGCCTCAGAGTCATGTCATCAAATATTCAGAGTAGGGTGGAGTCACCGCCTTCTGCAATTGCCTGAAACCCCCAAGGCAGAAAGCGAATTCCTCCACCGCAGAGTAAATGAGGTCACGCAACTCTGCCCAAGCACAGAGCCCTCTCTTCCAGGGCCTAAATGATCTAGTTTCCTAGAGAGAAGAAAGAAACAAGTACCCAATTTCCTGGATGACATCAAAGACCTTTCCTTCCATCCTCTTCAGTGCATCTCTGGGTTATCTGCTGCAGAGGAGCCCTCCTGAGCTCCTGCCCTGCTCGGAGCTGCGGCACGAGACAATGCAGCTCTGCCTCCTCCTCCATCCCCAAAGCAAAGCTGCGCTGTACCGCACCAACAACAAAACCGCCGCCTCCTTGCAGACGGTTAAATGCAACTTTTGCTACCTCCTTCTTTACAAATTGCCCCTGCCAACATCTCAAAGAGCTCTCTACGCTCTGTTCTGATGTCAAGGACTTTTCACCAATGTCAGAGGCTGACAACCTGAATCCCAGCTGGGTCGCATTGCCCAGAGGGCACAAAATTAGTCCTGAAGCTTCAGCACTGCTGATGCAGTTTAGAGATGCAATCCTCAGAATAACACTAAAACTGCTCCTTTAAACCTAGTTATAAAGATTTTCACGAATTGCAACTCTCACATTAACGATGTACCTGCTAAGTTATCCCTTCAAATCTTTTTGGTACAAATATATCTGCTTATCATAGCTTCTGACTCTCTGGTCTACTTGGCTTTCTAGTCTGCTTCTATCCTCTGCTTAAAGAAAATCAGCATGAATGAGGACTGTTAAGGGAAAATACATTTCACTGAATAATGAGCAATAAAGGGACAAAGGAGTCAATGCAATGGGTGTAACATGGTTCGTTTCCACAGTGGCAAGTGTGTGTACACACATTTGACAGGCATAACAGTGCAGCAAGAGACAGGAATAACATATTACCCCATGAAACTCCTAGAGAGAGATTCCAGCAAGAAGAAGACAAAGAAAGAGCAGAGTCAATGACAAACAGAAACATAAGGCTATACAGTGCACCCCATGCACATACAGATATGTGCTGGCAGATAATCCCATCCCCTGTCCCACACCCACCAACTCAATATTCATAAAAATAAACAAGCAAGGAAGCAACAGATTGGCTATACAGCATATACCCACACATCCCCCCACGGCGCATCAGCCCTTCGACTGACAAGCAGACAGGGCAAATATACTTTCATCCTCCTGACACTTTGGGAGGTAATAACTTTGATTGTTTGGCAAACGGCTATTTGCTTTTTCAAAGAGGAGCGTGAAGTTCTGTGTATCTCAGCCACCTTTCTGTTGTTGAAAATGTAGAAATGCAATCTCTTCGCTGCTATTCATCAGCTATTTCTATTGAATAAGTAGATTTTACACCTGGGGCTGGTAAATTTTGATGACAAATTTACGAACCTGCTTTAAGCTTCTCTACCTTTATTTGCCTAAAGACTAAAACATGTCCGTGTGTTTGTGGCATGTTTATCTCTAGAAAAAGAGAGTAATTTCCCTTTGAAATACATTGCTAAATGGAAGACATTATTACCATCATCATCAGTATTATTAATATTTCTAACATCTCACTGAGGCTCTTGCTTTTTTTTTTTTAACTGCAATAGCTTCTGAAGGGCTACAGGCAGAAGGTAGACTGATAGCTGGTTTGAGAGGCTGAGATGGATTTTATGTCCCTTGCAGCAACAACTGATACCATCTCGTATGCCTAAACAAACATAGACTGTTGCGATATTCCAGATGGAAGTGTTTCAGGGAGCTCTGTTTTTCCCAGGTTTTCAGTGACATGTCTATTCAGCAAGAAGTTGATTCACGTCACCTTCACTGGACACCAACAAAGTCAAGAATGTTCGTGAATTAAATCACACCCACTGAGTGGCAATCGTGTATTCTTGCATACAGAAACTGGTAACAGCCATGTTAAACATATTTTTACAGTGACACTGATGATGAGTGACAGGACTGCAGTGTTTGCTAGAAAAAGCCCACTAACAAAACAATGAAGATTACCCAGTTTATTCTCCAAAAGCTCATTTTCGGGATTATCAAAATTCAGTAGACTCCATGCGTCTGTCTGGTTTAACCAAACAACTCGGTTGAGCTAAGGACATGACTATCCAATTTTCATCTGAACAGTCTGAGACTTGTTAGTATTCATAACTGGACTAGCGGGAACAGAGAACAAGTTATCTTCTATGAATGACTGGATTTCCTGCTCTCAGATTAGACCAGAGATACTGCAAGTATTCTCTGAATTGGATGTCAATGCTCTCACTGCCAGCTGAAGCACAGACATGTAGAGGTTGCAGTCATAATAAAAAAATTACAGAAGAAATTCAAATTTTTCCAAGTCTCAGAAATAAGTTTGACTTTCTTTAATCTGGGAGACAGTAAATAGGCAGGTAGGTTTTGTGCATTTGTTTTTTCTAAGTCCCTGCTCAATACTTACTCAAAGAACATGTAAAATAGAAGCAGCTTGGGGCATGCTATTATGAAGCACAGTCAGGGAAGGTACAAGCAATTTATTTAGAAGCTGATGAGGTACTGTTAGATATTCATGGCTGAACGCGAGCAATAGAAAACCTGAGCACAAAAAGACTCAGAGGGATTAAAAATTATTCATGTTAATCCATAACTTGTCCAAAAGAAAATCGCGTTCAAAGAGATGATGTTTTAAAGGCAAACCCTGATGTTTGTTCTCACAGCGCATGGAGCTGCTCTGAAGGGCTCACAAAATGCCCCTTCTCCCAGTCCGCCTTGAAAGCTTGAATTCTTAATGACAAAGGGAAATTCTCAGTCAACCACAGACTTGAGTAATATTGTTTTGCAAACTATTACTTGTGACTAATATTATTTTACTTTTATACCTCTCTTCAATTCAGAGGAGCTCTGTTAACTTGCTAAACTTTTTTTTAGTAAGTTTTTGCTTAACTCCGTCTGATCACATCCAGTTCTGAAAGGTGTTATGCTAATCTATACGCAGGGAAACTAAGCCACACACATGTTTAGTCAAACTTAAAGAGCAAGCTGGTTTTGGATGCCAAATTTTAGGTAAGCAAGACATTCACCAGACCGGCTGACAACCTTGCTTAGAACAGAGCATTCAGTTCCTCTGAAGAGCAAATTTCTAAGGAACAGTGACAAAGAAGGGCAGCATGATCTTGAAAAACTTAAATTGGGCATGACTTGGTCCAAGGTCAAAACAATTCTTCAGTGTAGGATTGGGCGCAGAAAGCCCAGACCTCAAAAAATTGCCACTGTCACCTCCACTGAAGGACAGCAAATGATGTAGTTTGATCATCTAATCATTTACAGGAAGGATCTGGTCACGGCTGACCAAAAAAAAAAGAAGTACAGGACTAAAGAATTTGAGTATATGTCTTAAGGTGCATTTCCCCTGTTCCATCTTTAATACAATCTATTTGGAAAAAGGGGGAAAAAAGAATAGTCGCTCCTCAGCTGGCTCAAAAATCATACCAACAATGGCAATCCCATCTCCTTCCATTCAAGCGCCCCATGGTCAAACTAGCTTAGATGGTTCTTATCCAGAATTTGCTATGAAGAATGGAAGATCTAAAATAGACATCTCACAGCCCTGATGTGAACGGAACTTTGACACCTCAGAAAAGTCCTGAGAAGTATTCCAGGCCACCCTTACCAGAAAGGTCCCAGTAATTTTTTATGCTGTGAGGGACATGGCAATAATTTTCATCAGCAGAGCACCTAAGAGCAGCAGCGGCTATGGCTGTCTGCCTAAAAATTAGTCAATTTAAATACGCAAGATATGCTTCTGCAGTTCCTTGACAAAGGTGAATGCTTTTTCTCATTAGCAAGTAAAACACTGCTAATTTGTTTGCCTTCTCTAATCATCATGTCAACAAACAGGTGAGTGGAGTTTGGGCACGGGCTGCTAAATGTTCACGGTCATTACCCAAGGCTAATTTAGCAGAAGATGAACTGGCCAAGTCTTGCAGACTGTTTCCAGGTCATCTCCTAGAATTTCTAAGGAAAACATTTGCAATACAATTATATGATTATTCTGTGGTCCAGCACTACAAGTGGAAAATTTCTTTCCACCATCCAGCCCTGAGCTCCCCAAATTCTGAAGAACCCGCATTGCTCTTCCTTTGATCTCTTCTGAGAAAAATGCTCAAACTAAAAGCTAATCTTCATTTTTAAAAAGCAAATCCTCTGTGTCTGTTGCTCAAAATCCTCCATAACATTAAAGAAGCACATGGAACATTATTTAATGTCATAAATAGAGAGCAGTGATTGAGGGAGGGAGCAATTAGCCTTAGAAGTGAAACTCTCTGGAAATGCAAGTACCCTGAATGAGAGAGGAGGAAGAGAAGAGAGAAATATCAGAGGTATATGGACCAGAAATATCCATGACTCTAGAAATAATGTTTTGTAAAGAGTTCACTGAGCTATCAGCTGATTTCATTTACTATTTTTTCAAGTAAGAACAAATTTTAAAACAATTGCCTGAAGACAGAAGACTGCCACAAACTGTTATAATGTGTCCTTGAAAAGAAGTTGGCCAGAGGGTCACAAAAATCTCGGTTCAGTATTTGACTGAACAGTGAATAGACTCACTCTAAAGCTGGGAGAATTTTCAAGATATTCCACTACACAGATTTAGGGATTTTTTTTTTTCTTTCCCCCAGCTATGAGATGAGATAAAGGACAGAAACTGAACATTTCGCTGAGAAATGGAGCCACAAACACTAGCTCTGTGCCAGGATCCTGCCTCTGCAACTTATTTCCTAGAAATTGGGATGTTAAGGAAAATGTACTTACGAGAAGGCAAAGGCCACCAAGGCCCCACTGACCACAATGAAGTCCAGGATATTCCACAGGTCACGGAAGTAGGAGCCAGGGTGCAGTAACAGCCCCAAGTCAATCATCTTCAGAGGAAACACATCAAAAGAAAGAGTTTCAATAAAACAACTACTAAATCAGCACTACTGAGGTACACAGGTATGTCCTTGATCAAATGACCCTTCACAAACTCTTCTTCAGAGCTTCACAGCAGCAGGGTAACATCTAGAGGCTTAGTCAAGCTGCTCATCTCTAAAAGGCACAGGGAGCTCTGTCCAAACTAGAGCTGAAGTCAACAAACCATAACCAAAAGTACGAGAGACAAAAGTACTAAGTGCTACATAGGATTCTTTGCACAGACATGCATTAATTTATGGGAACAGCAGTCTATGTGTGAAACGTCCAAATAGTTTAAGCTTATTCTACCCCAATTCTACCAGACATTAGTCGGCGGTAACAACTGGCACAGGATATTACGCAATGAAACACAAAGAGAAGATGGGAAGACCCACAGCCACATGCAAGAGTCAAAGGAATACACCTGCCCCGGAGCACTTGCTGGAAGATGCTGCTCAGCGTGGAAGCCTGGCTGGCTTCTGCACGCGACTGAGCCTCTCCTTACGCTGCTGCTAAAGATCTTCTAGACTTGAGTCTCAAAGACATTTTATCTGCTTTTATCTGCTTTTCCGAGAGCTCTACAGCTACCCGGCTAAGGTTGCTTTCCTCACAAAGCTTCTAATCCTTCTACTGAACAAACAATGGAAAAAGTGGTTTTTATTCTGCACCTTTTTTGCATCTTGCTCTGACAGTAAAAACTAACTCCATCATTACCTCAAGAATAAATCCTGATGTTATTAGAATTGTGCTTTCTGCAAAGTTACTGCCCCACAGTTTTAGCAAAGCCCATTACCCTGCTGAGTAAAATAAAAAGATAAATCCTCAATTTTTTGAAACATGACAAATCAAGAACTAACGGCTATCAATATTCCTGGATCAGCATCAAAGGAAAAGGGAAGAATCAGACATGTCTCAGTAAGGTCTATCGGCTCCTGTGTCCTTAAGCCACGCACAGACATTACATTTCTGCATCGGGCAATCGCATTTCTTACCCTCCTCCACAATCACAGCTACTAAAGATATCCTTATATTTCTCCATAAAATGTGACATTAAGGAAACCAGGAGAGCTGCTACAGAAAGGCCTCTGTAGTGCACTGACTACTTCTGAGTGCTGTTCCTGAGTTGGAGCTCTCCATCCCCACCGCCTCTCCAGGCGCCCCAGGGAGATCTGTTGTGCTCCGCTCTCTTTCTGCAGCTTCCCAGAGTAGGTGAGTGTAAATCTGAAAGGGGAGGTGAACCTTTCTGCTTGGAAAAATTCTTACCTTGATCACCATCTCAAAGGTAAAGACACCCGTAAATATATAATCCAAGTATTTCAGAGCCTAAATGGGAAAGAGGAATGTGTATTAGAGGAGACTACACACTGAAATAATCTGCTCATGAGCAAAGAGTAAAAAGTCTGTTCTGGCAATGGTCTATTTGCTACAACGGATAAATACCATCTGATGGGAGGCTTTCAAATAGTTTAGGCGCAAACTTGAATCATCTGATTTAAACAGCAACATTTTTTCCAGTCCTTGCCAGACTGCAGTATGCATCCCCATGGGATGCTTCAGTGCACCTGCATATATGGCAGGTCTAATAAGGCAAAATGGATATTTCCAATAGAAATATTTGAATACCCTTTTCTAAAGAGTTTATTTGCCAGCATCTGAGTAGCAGCCTGGGTTTCTCTTCTGCTGTAGCTGATGATAGTATTATTAAAGACCTTGGAGAGTAAGAGAGTGATAAAATCCTTTTTGTAAGGCTGATTCCACAGTTATTAAAGATGAGGAAGAGAGATTGCTTGTAGCTACTTCAGCTTATTACTGATATAGAGATTCATGGATCCTCTTCAGGAAAAAGCTAATACTGACCAGATTCAGAAGCAGGAGGCCAGGCCAGGCAATTCCTGCTCTGCCCTGCTCTGCTGACTTGTGCTCTGAAGCAATTCAGTTCCTTAATCTGTTTAAGGGGTGGATGAACACGGACTCCTCAGTACACATCCTGGTAAAGGCAATACCAGGCCATTAGAGTATCTATAGATCTCCTAAATTTTAACATAATTCTGTGGATGGGATGCACCTATTCAGAATCAGATTCATACGATTATACATAGTGAATGGATATTAAGTCAATATAAATATCACGTGATATCCACACACTGCAACTATCTACATTAAAGAGTCCAAAATTAGGCAACTGTGTTCTTGCAATTTCTATACTTAATCTTCAGTTCTGTAGAGGCCCAGTTGTCCATGTAACTGTAACCAGCTCTGTGCCAATGTCCTCACGTGAATGTGCTTGAAAAGAGACACCAGCTATCTGCTGCATGAATGCCCCTGGGCTCCATGGTCTCATGTAAAGGGTGGCACACTCCTACTTCTGCTCGTAACAGTATCCATCTATGAAATCTCCAGGGTTGGTATGACATCCATGGATAAGCAATTTTTCTACTAATTCTAGGAGGTTGCTACCATGCCCCACCAAGATAAAGAGCCATATCTGGTTTTGCTTGTTCAGGCTCTGCTCTAACAGGAGCAGGGGATCTCAGGACAATCTGAGCCCTGGCTTGTGACTGGGGAAGCCTTTCCCATTGCTGAATGGTGCGTAAGCTTTGCAGGCTGCTTCCATGTAAGTCACACCAGCCAAACAACCAGTGATTTCCAAGTTCTCAAACTCAGATGTGGTTGAAGCAGCAGAAAGGGACAGGAATTGTGAGCATTTTGATAGTGGAACAAGCTAATTTGAGTATGTTGTTAAAGAAAGCTCCAGCTTTGCACTTCCAGTGCACCATGTTATCCTTTGGAGATGGGAATGGACGTGCCACATGCATAACTGCTGGGAGAAGCAGAACAACTTTATTCTGGCCATGTTGGTTGGCACTCACATCGTTCCTTGGTGACTCGGCTTGGACAGGGTCTTCTGCAGCCAGGGCAATGCTGCTGAGGGCTATCACTATGAGGATGACCATCTCGAAATAGCGCAGGTTAACGATGTAGTGGAACAGACGCCGAATCCTACAAACAACATAAGCACATAGGAGGGCTATTGCAGGTTCTGCAAGTCAAGCACTGTGGTATGAAAGACTGGCAGAAGGACAACATTCATCAGGAATATCACCTTTAGGATTCCTAATACGAAAATGGTAAGGAAATAAAAACTAGGATCAATGTCTTTAAACTCCAGATTGCAACAGATCTATGGTGAGATTTAAAGACAGACATTTAACATCTCTGCATTGCTCTGTAGCCCCTCTGCAAAGTAATGGCATCTATCAAAAGGGCACGGAGAGCTTTCAAGCATTCGGACTCAATTCTACAAACTATGTTTATATACGCCCCAATCCTTTTCACTTTGAACTCACAGGCTAAAGTCCTGTGAGTTCAAAACTAGTTTGGAAATCCTTTTAATATCAACTAATCCCTTTAAAATTGAGATATATGCTGTACACTCTGAGATTCTTAGCTGAAACTGGCTTCATAACTATGAGTATTACTTCCAGCAATTTCTCTCTTGCCAAATAACTCTGCCTGTACTTTATTCTAAGATATGCTTTATAAGCTGCACAAATACTTTACAGTAATGTATTTGATTACTTTAACTTAATTTTTTTCTTCACAAATTGTGTCCAAGAAAAGTGACAAATGCTTCAATTTCTAAGCAATGCAAAACTATTCACAAATTTCAGCTAATAACTCTATCTGATCACAATTCACAAATACTTAACTGCACAGAGAATTCTACGTTTCAACTGTATTTGTCAGCTGAATAAAGGACTTAGGTTCTGCCTGAAAATCAAATTGTGTGCGTAACTTGCCAACAACCTTGTTATCTGAGAATGTAATTCAGTTACTATATCACATTTTCTCAAAGCAAATATCTGAACAGTTAGAATTAAAATTTATTTTTCACATCTACTTATATATTCCTTTTCTCTGGATTTCTAATGGAATCAGAATGAAAAAGATTTACACATACCAAGGAAACAGATTTGATATGAAATAACATGAAGAAAAGTGCTTTTGTGGATCCCTTAACTCTGGTTATCAATCTGACAGAAAAGGATTATCATCTTTGTGCTCTATGCATCCATGGAAGTGAAAGGCAACAGTTTCAATAACATTTATAACTGTAATTCATGCATCAAACTCAATTCATCAAAGAAATAACAAGTCCCTATTTTTAGGTCTTCATCATTCATAACCAGCACTGAAATATGGGAGCATTTGTAAACTGCCAGTAGTCCTTGAGAAATCATTTTAAATGCATGTCTGTTTTAAGAGGGTGGGTGGCACTTGGAAAATAATACATTTAATTTATGTTTCTCAGAACTGTTTTGCCCACTAGCAGCATCCGGATCACGCGTCCCCAGTGGGGCTTGGAAGGGAGATAGTTAGAAATAGATGTGGTGAAAACCTTCATACCCAGAAAGCAGAAAGACCTCTCTTGAGAAGTTAGCACCAGCCAAAACACCTGAGGGCATCCAGCTGGGCCTGCATCTTGCCCAGAGGAGGAAAAACAAGTTGCTGACATTCCTAGAGTTTGGTCTTCATGTTGTTATTTCCCCTTCACCCTGTGTTACAATACCTCTTCTCCCTGTGAACTTTGTTTTTTCAATGGTCTTTCAGTACAGCTTTTGAGAGAGAGTGTGTGTGTGTGCTGGAGAAAACTGCAAGATGACTGAAACTACATACTAAATCCTAGACTATGAGGCTCAGGTCATAAATGTAGGATGAGGTGAGAGAAGACAGCATACGTATGAAAGAAAAAAGTCTTGCTGTTTCTCTGTCTGCCCAGTCCACTCCTCAGCTCAGACCCTTTTGGGCTTGGGACCATCTAGCTTCCCACTCTGCCATGCTACCTTTGGCCTTTTGCAGCTAACACTCTTTTTTGGTGGTTACTCCACAACAAAAAGACTCAAGCCAGACCATGGCTTCCACCACAGATGCATTTCTGATGTCAAAGATGAGCACACAGAGCAGCCCATTTTGTTCCAGGATATCGCAGTCCCAAGTAGCAGGAGGTGTAGGAGCATTCATTCTTCTCTTGAATCAAGTCACCAAAGGAAGGACCCAAGTCGCAGAATCACAGAATGGCAGGGGTTGGAAGGGACCTCTGCAGATCATCTAGTCCAACCCCCCTGCTAAAGGAGGATCACCCAGAGCAGGTTGCACAGGACTTTGTCCAAGTTGGTTTTGAATCTCTCCAGAGAAGGAGACTCCACAACCTCTCTGGGCAGCTTGTCCCAGTGCTTGGTCACCCTCAGAGTGAAGAAGTTTTTCCTCGTATTGAGATGGAACTTCCCGTGTTCCAGTTTGTGTTCGTTGCCCCTTGTCCTGTCACTGGGCACCACTGAGAAGAGTCACAGAATCCCAGACTGGTTTGGGTTGGAAGGGACCTCAAAGGTCCACCCCCCCTGCTGCGGGCAGGGACACCCTCCACTAGCCCAGGTTGCCCAAAGCCCCATCCAACCTGGCCTTCAACACTGCCAGGGAGCCAGGGGCAGCCACAGCTTCTCTGGGCAACCCGTGCCACTACCTCACCACTCTAACAGTAAAGAATTTCTTTCTAACATCTAATCTAAATCGACCCTCCTTCAGCTTAAACCCATTACCCCTTGTCCTGTCACTACACTCCCTGACAAACAGTCCCTCACCTTTCCCATAGGCCCCTTCAGGTACTGGCAGGCTGCAATTAGATCTCCCCAGAGCCTTCTCTTCTCCAGGCTGAACAACCCCAACTCTCTCAGCCTGTCCTCACACGAGAGGTGCTGGCCCCTTCCTCTTGACACCCACCCTTTTGATATTTGTAAGTATTGATGAGATCCCCTCTCAGTCTTCTCTTCTCCAGGCTAACCAGCCCCAGCTCTCTCAGCCTTTCCTCATACCAGAGATGCTCCAATCCCCTCATCATCCACCTCCGCTGGACTCTCTCCAGTGTCTGTCTTGACCTGAGGAGCCCAGAACTGGACACAGAACTCCAGATATGGCCTCACCAGGGCAGAGCAGAGGGGCAGGAGAACCTCCCTCAACCTGGTGACCACGCTCTTCTTAATGCACCCCAGGAGTCCACCTTAGGTATCTGAGGGTGCAGAGTTCGAACTCAGAGAGTAACATCTAGGATCTGCAACAAGTCTACCTGAGCCAGAGAGAAATGATCATATCTGCACCTAGCAGATCTCTGGGTTGGCAGAAGTTTCAAATGCCCTCCATTGCCCTGCTGAAAATGACTCACAGGCCTTCATGCTACAATTATTACAACCCCTGCTGCTCTTGTCTCATCCTGCAGCCCTTCAGAGCGACACATTCAGTATTTACAGGCTTTGAGTACAAAGCTCCCCATGAGGCAGAAATGCCTGAAGCAGAAGAAATGCTGTAATCCCAACAGATCCCACAAGCTGTACTCTCAGCCTTGGCAAATGAAAAATATTCACGTTTTCCCAGGAGTTCAAAGTTTTTAGTGATGCAAGGGTACTAGTATGGAAAGAATACGAATTCCAGCTAGGGAACCTGCAAGAATTTGTTGACATCAAAAGCAGCCCTCAACCTGCTTCTCCTGATAATGTCTTCTCCCAGTGACAGTCTGTACTCCCACCCTTTAGTGATCTACAACTGAGCAAACAGCTGCCCACCTGACCGTCAGCAGGGCAGTTTAGGAAGGTTCTGCCTAAAGCATCATCTTTTCCCTATACTGGCACTCTATTCCCCCAGGAAAGCCCAGCTGAAAGGCAGCATCTGGTCCGCAACCTACATAAGCTTTTATTTAATTTCCCAGTGTGTTTGACTGGCAGAGATGAAGATCAAGCTAATGTTATTGCTCTGAATACCCACGCTCGAAATACCTGTAACCCAAGTGGCATTATAGAGTCAGAGGACTTACGGATTTGTAGGACTTAGGATGAACATGGAACTGTAAGGCAAGATTGGTTTAGGCCCATTCTTTGTCAAGTCATCAACGTCTTTCTTCTCCTCTGTTTTGCTTTCAAATTCAACATTGTTCACTGAAATGTGAATTTAAGGAAACAGAAATGAGAGTGTTAAAAACGTATCCGCAGTCTTCACACAGCAGGCTGCCTGCAACAGCTGGATATGCAAACAACGCAGCTGGGATAGCAAACAGCCTTTGAATATGTTGATTAAATGTGATGAACAATCATTTGATTATTATCACCACTATTTACTACAGTACGATGTACACTGCAATTATACTCCTTAACTGCTGCGCTGATGAGCAATGTATCGGAAATGGCCAGGAAATGAAGATGCCCAGTGCAGACAAATCTTACACTTATTTATACAAGAGCTGCCAAACTGGGGATGGAAATCCCATTCCAAAATACGATAAATGATTAGGGAGAGAGGATCAGCTAGGGATCCGTGGAAAGAAAGATGGTAAGTCTAACCAACCGCATAATTGTGTACTTTTCCTACAGATCGGTAGCAGGATTGTCTTTGGAAGGTGTAAAAGAGCAAATTCATAGATGAGCTTTAAGAATTTTGGGGCTAAGACTGCTGAATTTCCCAGCATTAGGAACAGAGACTTGGAAGGGGCTTCTTGGACCTCCCAGCTCTGCACCTGCATAGTGCACCCCAGCTTTGGCAGAGCTCCCCATGTATAAAGGTGTTGAGCTCCATCTCACATTCAGGTTTTTAACTTACACGATCCCTTTCTAGAAGATTGTTCTGAACTTCACTCCCAAAGGTTAGAAATACATTCTCTAATTTCCATCATAACTTGCAATGGGTTTATAGGATAATTTATTTAAGCTAATTTCCAATATATGAACTGGAAAACATTTTACCCTGCAAATTCTCTTCTTAGACAGATATCTATACTTGTCTATTAATTCACAGAATCTAGAATCAAAAAACTCCACCCACTTATGTGTTAGGTGAAAGTTTTTTATTACTTTTTATTTTATTTTGCAGCAAAATGACATTTCATTGTGTGTGAGTGACATGTTCAATAAACTTTTTACTGTATCTCAAGCCAGATACACAGGAAATGGCCAGGAAAGAGAGAGGTTGATAAATTGTGATTGACAGGAACTCAGTATTGCAATATAGTAAAATTACCATTTTAGAAAAAAGAAATGAAAAAAAAAAAAAAAAGGACAAGTCTTGTGTGGCTGACAACATGGTGAAAAAAGCATGTAGAGAAACAGCTAGCTTTTGGCTGAGCCTCTTGGAAAGCAGAGTCCTGACAGCCCGTGACCTAATGTGGACCTCTTGGATTTCATACTGCACCTCTCCTTGGCACCCCCAGCTCTCAACACTTCTCCAGGCTGTGCCTACACTGCCAGGGCTGAGCCACAAGCTGGTCAGAACAGGCTGGGTGGCTGCAGAGCAGCTCGTGGGCACAATGGTCTTGGGACTGTCTGCAAAATGGTGTAAATCTACGCCGACAGACCCAAGGCTCTGGAAAAGGACAAGCTAGGATGGATCTACTGAAACTGAGAGGTGGTGGATTGCAAGAAGCTCTAAAATTACACAGTGTGCAGGAACCTGAAGCAGCAGGGTCACCCCAGGGACACTGTGATAGCTGTGCAGCCACGAAAGACCTGCTGCTCCACAGTGGGGTCAGCAATAAGACAAGAAGTGTGAATTCAGTCTGTGGGCTTGAATGCAATGCCACTGCTTCCTCTGTCCTTTGCTGAGGGGTCTCTGTGGCCAGTCAGGCCCCTGGGACACCAGGGGAAGCGTAGCACAGCACTGCTGGAGTGACAGCTTGCAGCATGGCAGCAGAGGAAGGTGATAAAGCAGGGGACCTGCTCCTGAGCTCACAACAAGGTCTTGATTGGTCTGCTGCAGAAGTTGCTTATTTTGCTGCACAGCTCTCAGTTACTACATTTTGTTGGTTTTCTTGCTTGTATCTTCCTTATGGGAAGATACACAGATGTGCTCTGGTGAGCCATCTCCAGGGAACCTTACATGGTGTTTTCCAGAGCCACCAGCTGACTCTCACATTTTTGAGTTCCTGCAGGCTGCATGAACTGCATAGCCTATATCAACATCAAGTTCTCCCGTCCATCTACTGCAAGGATGCTGGTGGCCCCCATCAGGAGAGCCCCCATCACCCAGTGTGTGCTGCTAGATCCTTGGAAAGTTAGCTCTTTTCTGGCAATTTCATAGCAAAAAGCAAAGGCACTCACTTGGTATGACAGTGGTTTCCCCCGGTGGGGCAGTGATAGTGACAGGGATGTTCACAGTGGTGGTTTTGTCCAGAGGTGGCTGAATCATCCGCGTCACGTTTTTCTGGTTGTCAGCATCTTCTGGCTGCTCCGGAACCTTCTGCAGATAGGTGCTGGGAAGGGTGTGCACAGGGACACTCACACTTCCACTGGCCTCAATCTCACACTGGTTCTCCCTAAGGTAGAAAAACAGATTTTATTAAATATGATCCAAGAAGGATTCGTACAACATACGTACCCTGATGCTGCACCTCTTGCTAGGTTTCATAGAGTGTTTTCTTCATGGAAGTCCTTTGCAGAAAAGTCACAGACTGCAGGACAACTTACTGATAACACCTTCTCCTCTGAGACCTTCTGAACCAACATCCAAGCACAACATTAAGAGGAATGGCGCCACTCAACATCACTTTATTCAATTTAATGAGACTCGGAACTGAGGTTCATAAGCAAGGACCACTTGGCACTTGCATGTAACAGTGACATTAGCTTTCCAGCATCAGCTGGTTTCTGAATAAGTCTGACATTCTGCTTCTTAATGTTCTCCTGAGGGATTATTTAAATCTGGTGATTCTCTTTTCCAGTCCTAAACCGCTCTGTAACGTTGCTGTAAGTGGCTAAATAGCTTCTGCATTCCTCTGCAGCAGTGGCTATATTTCAGTGAGGAGGAAAGTGAGCTTGTGCACATGATCAAACTAAACAGTATGCAAAGTGTTTTGAAAACCATCTGAAAGGAAGATAATATAGACAGGAAAATTATCTCAGTGCCACTCACAGCTCTCCACGGTGACATGAACTCTATTCTAAAGAATCCCAGTGAAATTTCTTTTCCATCAGACTAATAAAGCTGAAAAGGCAATCTATCCTTCTTTATTAACTACTCTAAATGCTTCATGAGTACTATTTTTCTCACTTGACTTACATAAGAATTAAACCAAATGAGGTACATCATTGTTCTTAATGGAAGAAGCCACGTGCTGTAACAACTGGTGATGTAGCTGACCATCTCACCATAAAAAAGGAAAACCATAGTGCTATAAAAGCAAGACTGCACGCCATTTAAAAATGCATCCCTCAGAAACATCTTTCAGAGGCTGTGAAATTCACTCTTCCACGTTATGTCCTAAAGGGCCTGTTGGTATTTACACCAAGGATAATTCCTTCCTTAAACCTGAGATATTCTGTGGGCCATCATGGACCAAAATCATCTTTGGGAGCCTCTGTCAATACTGATTTAAGCAAAATGGAACTTCAGGTTACAGTGGTAGATGATGTGAGTGCAAGAAGAACAGCAGGGAATGCCATGGGAAGGGGAATAACTCATTTCCTAAAAGGTGTTTGGGGTCTCGTGCCCCCCCCCGAGCTGTCTCAGGGACACGCCTGGCCATGCAGCGCTCACTTACTTGGGCTGATGATTCCGGTGCTCCTTCTCGCCAGCCTCCCCTTCCTTCTCCCCATTCTCCTTCTCCACCGAATCGTACGTCGACAGCGCCCTGTTCCTGAACCTGTGCCGTCTGTGAGGCTCTTCTCCGTTCTCGCCCTTGGACCCAGGCTCTCCTTCCCTGTTCCCAGACCTCGACCCTCCCCGGTGCCTGGAACGCCGCTCGCTCCTGGCCCCGTTGATTGTCCCGTTGCCTTCCTTGCCTTGCCGTTCGGCAGAGTGACGGTGAGTCCGATGCCTACGGTGCTCCTTCTCAACACCTTCTTCCACCGATCCTCGGCGGTGGTGCCTCTTTCCCCCTTCCTGGCCTCTGCTGCGATCACTTTTCCCTTCCTTACTCCCCCCTTCCACCTCCTTGCTGCGGCTCCTGTGCTGCCTGTGTCGCTCCTCCTTATTGTTGATGCCAGATTCCCCATTCTCATCCTTGGTCACATCACCCTTCTCTTGCTCTCCCAGTTTGTCCTTATCCCGATGCCGGTGGTGCTTTCGTGGAGCTTCTGCCCCATCAGTAGAGCTGACTTTGGTCTGCTCCACCTCCTGCACATCCACGGGGCTCAGCTTGCTGATGTTGTTCCTTCCATCGCCTCTCGGCTCTACCACCAATGGCCGATCCAAATGAGTCTTCATGTCTGGCCTGATGTGAAGGGTGGTAGCGTAACGCACCCGCTCCTCCGGATCCAGCTCGTTGTACAGTGCCTCGCAGCTGGCTCGGAAATTGTGCATCCGGATCTGGCTGGTCCTCTGCTCCCAAACGGACTTGGATTTGGAGGAGTTCTGCTGCTTGCTAAGGAGGGGAGGAAGGTGAAAAGTTAGTATCCAACTTTGCACCAATTCCCTAAAAAACAACCAATAAAAAAAAAAAGGAGGAAATTTTCAGCTGAGATGGGGGATTAGAGGGTTTAGCCAAAGAAACTACAGGAATGGAGAGAGAATGGCTGGCGGAGAACATGAGCAGGGAAAACCAGCAGGATCAGTGTTAGTTTGCCCCCACATATGTTAGACAGTATGAAACAGGCCCTCTGGAAAGGAGTTACCTTGATTTCTTAAACGTAACCATCCCCCTTGGAAGCCTCAGGTATGGCCTGAAGGGTTAAAGTCTCTGCGCACAAAAACCGTACAGCACAGCCAGAGCTTTCAAACAGCCTACAAGGCTTCCCCATGATTTACAGCACCTTTGTCCCCACCTGGAAATGTCTGGATGAGCAAATTAGCCGCAAGTAAAAGAAGTTAGATTGGCAGGAGGAGCAAGGGGAAATTAAATCTGCCCCTGAGGATCTGAGCCTGAGCACCCTGGCACGAGCCACTTCCCCTGACAGCCAGCCAGAGGGGTCACTTCTCAGGCTGCGCTGCCCCATCGGCTAATGGCCCAGGAGAGCCGTTGTCCTAAACCCACAGCACTCTTCCGAGGTGAGGATGGACCATCCAGCCCACAGCATCAGCAGAGTCTGGAAAAGTACAAATAAGAAAGGAAACTTGTTCTGTGTACTGTGAAAAGACCCCAGGGACTCAGGGCGTCATGCGTAGATACAGATGTGATGACAGCACCTTTATTCCCTGGACAGACCTGCTCTTTTCTGCCTCTGCCATCTATTATGATGAGGATACCTCCATTAGCATCCCCTTAATGCCTTGATTTTTCAGCACAGCGCTTGGTTTCTGATGACCACATGCAAATGGGTCACCTACCTAGTCACTGTAGGAAGGGAAGGCTTTTTTCCTTTCCTCCTAAAGATTGCAAGTCAAATTCTGCTTTTGCACAAAACCAAAGTAAACCAGGCTTCCAGGTCAGAGTCCTGGATTTACCTGGTAGAGGTCAGCACCTATTTTTTTCCTTAATGAAACAATTTCTAGCAAAGAAGAAAATCATTTTCCTTCCACCAGCCTGCTCAGATGTCTCCATTTGCTACACATTAGCCTGACCTCTGCAGCGCACAGACCTCCAGCACTTAACACACAAGGCTGTGGAAACAGGGACACAGACGCATTTTCCTTACATGCTGTCTGGGCTCCCCCGACAATAGAAGAAAGCAGCTTTTGCGTGTGTATGCGCTGATTTGGGCTGTCAGGGTCCGTCGCTGTGCACAGACCCTGGGGGGAGGCAGCATTCAGACGGGCTCCCGCAGCGCAGTGGGAGCTGTCGGAAAGGGTTTGCATTGCCGAGCTCTGCAAGGGGATCGGTTCTTTACGGAGGGTGCTGCTGCTGCTGCCTGGTTCTGCTAAAGAGGCAAAAACCTACTTAAACGGTCACTGCAGATGGGATGAGGGCACCCAGGGAGATAGGAAGGATCTGATTTAATCCAGAAATCAGAGTGAGCACAGCTAATCACCAAAACTAAAAAAATCTATATACCCCGTTCCCAAAAGGCACATTCTGGACCAATTTTCCAGCAGCTGAGTGCCCCATTTACACCCCAGCAGAATGAGTGACAAAAATCACAGTTCTAAACGTAAACGATACCAGAAGGTACTGGGGACATAGCTTAGAGCCCCACTCACCAAAAATCTCACATCTGCTATCACTCTTCAGCAAATTTACTTGGTTTTAGAAGGAATTAAAGGGTAACATGCAAAGCCTCCTCAGACTGCCCGGACCTGCTGCCCTGTACAAGGATTTCCCATGGGAAGCCACGTGCTCTGCCTCTGCAGCTCTCCATAGTCAGCAGAATCGGGCACAGAGAGATGGAGCTGCCCGGGACGGGTGCCCCAGGATGTCCTGCGCATCCTCCAGGATGGACGGGGCACCTCGCTCTGCAGTGGTCCAGATCTACATCTGCTAAACCAAACTGGGCTACAAAAATGAACCTCCTCTTCAGCACACCGGCTCAGGGAAACGAGACAGCTTACAAACGTGTATGCGCATGTCTGAGTGCTGCCTCGGTGCATGCCACCAAATGCATTAGTTCTTGGGGGACATTTCTCACTTCATAACGAAAGTCCTCGGGGCAGGGACCGGCTTCTATTTTGTGCATTGAACAGAGTGAGCTGACAACATTGAAGTGATAACTAGTAATACCAGGTTGGAGTTGGGTAACTGCCCTTACGCTGACTGAAGCCTTCAATTTATCTGCAAACCAGAGTGCAGAGAAGAGCACAGCCACCTACTCCCCATGCACCATCCTGTGTTCCATTTCCATGGGCCAGGCACCACGCAGGGGTGGGATGCAAAACCTCAGCCTCCCTGCAGAGAGTCTCCAAAGCAAAACACACAATAAATCATCACGCAAGTTTCACGGATGCAGCCTCTCCATCAGTGCCTGCACTGAGCCCATCAAAGCCAAGATGTAAAGAAAATCTAAATCACCCTGGATGCAGTAAGGAGGAAGGCTGAAGATGCAGGGCTAGTACTCTTCACACAGTGCAGAGGAGACACTCAGAATCTGCTAGCTCTGACACAAGATGTATTGCTTCAGGAGGAGTTTTTTAGTTGTATTTCAGTTATACCAAGAACATAAATCAGCCTTTAAATTATCTCTGAGGTGCTAAAGCTTCCACTACAACACACAGCCGCCCACTGGCTTTGGTTACTAACAAGTCAAAGAGCAGGAGGTTCAGAAGTAATGACTGCATCCCTTTCTCTCTCTGCATGAAAAGACACAGACACACAAAAAGAAGAAAACAGAAAATATATAAAGTGCAGTAAAAACACAATCAGAAAACGTGAAGCCTGCCTGCAAGCTCGTTATCATACTCAAACCAGTCAAGAACATCAGGAGCAAGTGACAGTGCGCATAATGTCTGCTGTAGGAAATGGAACCGAGCACGTCGGTCCCTCTGGGGACAGTGTTTAGGGTTTTCAGAGCCAAAGTGGCAGCAACTGGAGGGAATGTGTTGTCTGCTTGTCTAATTAAATTTATCTGACTCTTGCTTTCTACAACTTCACGCAGCAACTGAACATGGATGTACGTGACAGCTTCTCCTCTCCTGTTGCTCTGCTGTACTTCTTCACAGAGGAGGGCTTTTGAACTTATTTATGGCACAACAGGAACGTCACCTCAAAACAACACAAAGTTGCATTACAACTGCCTGCCTATGAGGGAACGGTGCCTATGCACACAACACGGAAAACTGCAGAAGATATAGACAGGGCAAAATCATTTCCTCTGCTTCCTTCAGCATTTGGTCCAGTTAATTATTGAGAGCTGCATGAACTGGGGCAGACACAAACCATCTACAGTACGAGCATGACATGCTGCAACATAGCAAGGCTTGTCCAAACTGATAAAAAACCGAGCCTTTGTGATAACAATTTTTTTTTCCATAAGAGAAAACTATCTATTTATGAAGACAGCTGCTTATCTGAAATCCTGTTCACTGTTGGCCTCTTAAAATCCTTCTGAATCCATTAAGAAAATTGCAATAATCACTTCTGATTTACAGATATAGTACAAAGATTAATATTAATTCACTTTCTTTACAATTACTTCCCATCCCTTTTGTCTGTCTACAGAATATTGCAAAGTCTTTGAAGGGTACTGACTATATACTCAGTTTTCAGGTCCTCTATGCTTGAAATGTTGTAGTAGATATTACTGCTAGTACACTTCTCTGAGTAGCTTCACTGGTTTTGCTGGATTAAGAAGCCAGCAGTCACAAAACTCCTGCCTGTGGCTAGAAAGAAAACCATATAACTCACGAAGAGTCAAATAAAATTCATATTAATGAATCAGTGACTAATGTTGGCATAAATGAAAAAATGCAACCAGTCAGATTGTGTAGATTGTTCAAGAAAGGAAAGCATATTTTTAGTCATATTCTAATCTTAGTGTATTCCTTAATGATTCAAGTTTTTGTTATCATAACCTTTTAAAACACTGCTTCAGTTAATGTCACTTTGCTTCCCAGAACTACTGGTTTAATCAGCTACATAAATGCAATCCTTAAATTTTGCTTTAGTAAATAATGAATGAAAGCTGACTATGAACATAATAATTTGACGTTAAAAATACCTACATAATAGATTGTGGGTATGAAAGAATATGTTCCGATTACAGACGAAAGGGAATTTCTTGTTAAAATACAGTTTCAACAAAAAAAGCAATGTGAAAAACCTTTCCACTAAAATCATATTTTCTGTTCGTAAACTTGGAGAAGCTCTCTCTACGTTTCAATCTTCCACTTGGAAAATACAATGAGGCATTTCAGTTTGGGGTAGGCATGCGCAAAGCAGAATGTTTTATCTGTTTGGTTTGATAAAACAATTTTCTTCCAGATGAGCTCACCACTGCTGTTTAAATTTGCTTTGCCAGTGACCCCGGGAGTTGCCGCACGGATGCTTTAGCACCTTCTCTTCTTTATGAGCTACGTCTCCCGCCTGAGCTCTCTCAAGAGATGCACGGTGCTCTCCCACTGAGCTGGTCCAACGGTGTGCATCACAGAAACGCCATTACCAAGGACTGCTGCAGAAAACGCTGCCCAGTCTCTTCCAATATTATTCTTAAATTTGATTTTTATTTTTTTAATATATGTATTCGAATTTTTGATATTGCAGTTTCTCAGAAAGAAGACGTTTTCTTTCATAATATTTCTCCTAACACCCATTAGCTAGAAACTCTAAATTTAGAATGTGCTCTAAGCCTAATATAATACTGGCCGTATATCACATACTTATGTTCAGAAACTCGCTACTGAAATTTGAAATGCCTTTCAAACCATCACAGAGGCCAACTGCTTAGATCAAGAAAGTTCACTAAACACCACATTTTGCGTTTAGTGCGCATTATCATCCTCAGATTGAATTTCCGCTCCCTTTACCTGCTCTTTTGGGGAATTGGGAGAACTGCAGAT